GCCTCAGTTTTTCTTTGTGAAACTCTTGTAAAAAATAATAAAATAGATTATGTTCGTTCTAAGGTAGGTTTTGAAATAATTGTTTTGTTGTTCCTTCTATTGGACATTCTGATGGTATTACTCTCTTATGGAATAATAATGTGGATGTCTGGATTTCCTCTTATGAGACTCATTTTATTGATGCCATTATTTTTAATAATAATGAAGCCAGTTGGAGATTTACTGGTTTCGATGGATACCCGGAACGATCTCAGAGTCGTGATTCTTGGAGTCTTCTACGTAATTTGGCAGCTTAATCTATGTTACCATGGGTAGTATGGGTGACTATAATGATCTTCTATTCTGTACTGATAAAAGGGGTGGTCCGCCTATGCTTGATTCTCTTTTACGTGGGTTCCAAGATACTATTGATGCTTATAACTTGATCGATATGCCTCTCATAGGGTATCAATTCACATGGTGTAAGGACAGGGGTGATAATAAGATGGAAGAAAGACTTGATAAGGCTATGGTCACTAGTTCCTAGCTTGCATTATATCCTCATTGCTGGCTCCAAAGTGTGGCGATTTGGGTCGAATCACTTCCCAATTGTGTTTTGGTTTTCTGATGCCCACCCTATGTCTTGTAGGTTTCGGTTCCATTTTGAGAATGCCTGGATTCGTAAACCCGATATTGCATCTATTGTGGCTTCAGGTTGGCAAGAGTTTTTGCCTGGGCTTGTTACTTTTAAAATCACTAATTGTAGTTCAATTTTAAATCGGGATCGTGACTTAAGGCTCTAGTTTAAGAGGGATACTCCAATGCTCAAATCTCGGTTGAGGTTTTACAGGACAAAAACATATGCTTTTTCTGCTATTGAATTGATTTTTGTGAAGAATGAGTTGAATAACCTGTTGGCGCAAGAGGAAATGTATTGGCAGCAACGTTGTAAACTCTTTTGGCTACAACATGGCGACCTGAATACCAAGTTCTTCCAACAATGGACGTCTTCTCGAGCTCATACAAACTTCATGTCTGGTCTGGTTGATGCCAATGGCGTTTTGGGGAGTACGAGGCCGGTATGCATGATACTGTCCGTAATTATTTTATGGATTTATTAATTTGCTAGGTCTGTTACTTCTCATGATTAGGTTGTGCAACATATCTCTCGCTTGGTTACTGCGGAAGATAACTGTTTGCTTCTTGCTTCTTTTGAAGATGAGGAGTTTCATCGAGCCCTTTATCAGAACTCAATTGCAAGACCTAGGTTCTCTTAGCTACAACATTATCTCAGAACTACAACATTATCTCAATCAACATTTTGAAATGAAAGACTTGGGTTCTCTTAGCTATTTTTTGGGTCTTGAAGTTTCTCAAAATTTTGATGGCTATTATCTCTCTCAAGCCAAGTATGCATCTGATTGCTTTCTAGAGCAGGCATCACTGATAACAAAACAATATCAACCCCAATGGAACTCAATTGCAAACTTACACCCCTTGATGGCACTCCTCTTGATGATCCTACTTTATATCACCAGCTCGTTGGGAGTCTTGTTTATCTCAGCGTTACTTGACCTGATATTTCATATGTTGTTTATCTGGTCAGCCAGTTTATATCTGCTCCTAACTCAACTCATTTCTTTGCAGTACTTTGAATTCTCCATTTTATCAAAGGAACTCTTTTTCATGGTTTCCACTTTTTTTATACCTCCTCCCTAATATTATCTGGCTACTCTAATTTTGATTCGATAAATTGTCGCTCTACAACTGGTTATTATTTCTTCTTAGGTGATTCCCTTATCTCTGGGCATAGCAAAAGCAAACAATTGTTGCACACTCTAGCACAAAATCTGAATACCGTGCTCTTGCTGATGCTACATCTAAATTACTTTGGTTATGTTGGTTATTAACTGATTTGAGTGTCCCTCATACTTCTATCATCATGCTTCATTGTGATAATAGAAGTGTCATACAGTTTTCTCATAATGATGTATTCCATGAGCGTGCCAAATATATTGAAATTGATTATCATTTAGTACGTCATCATGTTGGTCAAGGCACCATATGTTTGATTCATGTCTCCTCCGCTAACCAAACTACTGATATAATCATAAAACCGCATCTTCCTGCTCGCTTTCAAGATCTCTTAACTAAACTCAAGTTGGCACCAATGCTAGGACCTTGAGTTTGAGGGGGGATGTTAGAAGAAAATCTACCCTTGCATGATTGTGGGAGATTTATGATTATAGGAGATTTGATTTACTTATATGATTGTAGAAGATCTATGATTATAGGAGATTTGATTTAACATGAGTACAACAATTCTCATGTCTGAATAGATGTTTTATCTTTGTAAATATCACACAAAACAAATACACAATCTTTTCTCTATTATTTATTATTAACAAGTGTGATTTAAGATTTTATATGTTTTATATTATTAATACGAATTTTGTTCAATTTTAGAATTCATTTATATTTTTCAATTTTCTTTTTCATTTTTGCGCCTCATCTCGCTCAGGCGCACAGCTTCCCCTCTGCGCATTGTGCCTAGGCTCCATGACCTTTTTGCACCTTAGTGGGCCTTGCGCCTTTAACAATTATGAATTATAAGTATAAATAAGGTGTAAAATGAAAATGTTACAAACATAAACTTCCTTTTCCATACCAAAACCCACTGCATTGCATGGATAAATCCTAGCAAGAATCTAAATTCTTACTTGTACATAGATATAGATAGATAGGGTGTATCTAAATCCAGTAGTACAACATCTAAGGTTAGATTTGTCTACAACAGTAAAGACAATCACAGTTTTGACCTGTGGGTTTCTAATCCACAATTAAGCCTCTAACTATAACCAACAAAAACATGTTAAAGAACGCAATTATGTTGTCATAATGAGAGGTTTAAACACGGCAATATCAAAACCCTTCAAAAATAATAATAATAAATTTGTAAAACAGAACACAAGAAACAAGACAAAAATCTCTCTCTCTCTCTCTCTCTCTCTCTCTCTCGTCAGTGCAGTGGTCACCACCCCTTTTACCAGTAAATTACTGTGTTTGACTCCTCTTTTTTCTCGGTAGTTTGTCCCAAGCGTGTCTCTTTCCCTTCTTTAATTTCGAAATTTTTATTTTATCATTAGAAGATTGTTAGTGTATTATTAGTGTTACATTAGAGGACAATGGATGAAATATGTTTGATTCATAACTATACAGGATTAGTGGATTAGTAAATGCAACATCATAAAGTTTAAAATAATTTTACATCACCATTAAAATTTAAATTATCATAATGCATCAAAGCATAAAATTTATATTTATAACTTTCCAAGCAGTTAAGTCTTACTCAGAAAATTATTATTTTGTCAAGAATAAAATTCCAAATTACTAAACTTCAAGCTAAAAATAATTCAGTTTGGTTCAATTTTTAATTCTTTTCAGAGTTTACTCACCTTTATTCTATGCGGGGAATTATATGTCTAATTATATGGAAAAAAATATTAATTAAATATTTATTTAACATAAATAAAATATTTTTGAATTGTGAATTTTTTTGACGAAATTTCAATTGTAAAAATTTTAAAATAACAAACAATCTTTTTTTTTTTCGAAAAATTGTTTTGGTTAATAGAGATTCAGAGAAGAATTTGCTAACTATGTGGCATTGCCATTGCAATTGTTAAACGCTAATTCATATTTACAGATTACCAAACACAAGAACAGAGCTTCTCTTTCTCTCTCTTTCTCGAGCCCCCTACCTCTCCTTTACCACCTATAGTCTTACTCTGGCGTCTACTTCTTCTCTCTCTCTCTCTCTCTCCCTCCATTTTCTTTCTTTACTAATCTCAAACCATTACTAGTTTATTAACAGAACTCTAAACCATTGCTCACTGCAGAGAGAAAAGAAAAAAAAGAAAACGAAAGCTCCTTTCTTTTTCTTTTCTTTTCCTTTAGAAGAACAGTCTTTCTGCTACAGTATCTATTCTAGCACAACGGAACGCCCTTCTCTCCCTTTATCTCTCTCTGCACTTTTTTTTTTTATTTTACTTTAATATATACAGAAGTTCTTCTCCTTTCTCTCCTCTTTCTCGGAGCCCTCCCCTACCTCTCCCTTCTACCACCCTATAGTCTTACTTTTACTGCGCGTTCTACTTCTTCTCTACTTCTCTCTCTCTCTCCCCTCCATCTTTTCTTTCTCTTTTACTATCTCAAACCCATTTACTAGTTTATTAAACAAACTCTCAACCATCTTGCCATATTTGCAGCGACGTGAGCGAAAGACAAAAAAAGACAACGAAAAGGCTCCCTTTCTTTCATTCTTCTTTTCCTTTATAGCTAAGGAACAGCTCTTCCTCTGCCTACATAGTTATATCCCCTCATTCTTTTAGCCACCAAACGGAACGCGTCCCTTTCTCCCTCCTCCTTTATCTCTCCTCTGCACTTTTTTTTTTTATTTCTTACTTTCTACTTATACTTATATTCTTATACCTATATATTAAAATATAACAATCGCCACCACAAACTGGAAACCTCTTCCTCTGTTTATCACACACCGATTACAAATCTCTTTTCCTCAAAAAATATTCCTTTTCCTCCGTCATATCGCCATTTTAGCTCTGCGCATCTCTTCCCTCCTTTAGCCAAGAAATTCTTGAAACTGCTGGTTCTGCAACAGGAAACATTTCTCCAAGATCCCATAAAGTTTAAAGCCTAAACTACGGCCACGCTGTTTCTAAACATGACAAGGGTTTCTTTCAAAACATACATCACTAATCTTCTCTGCGACAAATCACGTACCAGCTCAAGGCCCTGTATTCAAACTGCCCCACCTCCTTCTCCTCTATACTAAAAGAGAATTACAATAATTCTTTTAAGTAAACACATTTTTTTCTTTCAAACACATGACACCCAAAAACCCCTTCCTCTAGTTTTTTAAACAAACAGTGTGAAAACATCACATTGGGATCGTGTTGCCTTCTCACCCCAAGCTTTGAAGAAGAAGAAGTCTGTTGCTAATTTATATATATAAAATATAAAATCGCCACCAAAACTGAAACCTCTTCTCTGTTCAACAAAGATAAAATTTTTCCTCAAAAAATCTTTTTGTCAATGCATTTTAGCTCTGCATTTCCCTCTTTCTAGCCAAGAAATGAAATGGGTTGCAACAGAACATCTCCAAGACCAAAGTTTGAAGCTAAACTAGGCCACGCTGTTTCTAAACATGAAATGGGTTTCTTCAAAACATTACAAAATCTCTGAAAAACACGTAGTAAGGCCCTGTATCAAACTGCCCCACCTCCTTTTTATACTAAAAGAATACAATAATTCTTTTAAGGAAACAATCTTTTTCTCTAAAAGAAGCCAAAAACCCTTCTCTAGTTTTAACAAACAGTGAAAACAATAATGGGATGTGTTGCTTCAAAGCTTGAAGAAGAAGAAGTTGTTTGTATTTGTAGAGAGAGAAAACGTTTACTAAAGCAAGCTGTGGAGAGAAGATATGAACTAGCAGAAGCACATTGTAGATATTATCAATCTCTTTATGCAGTTTCAGCTGCTATAAAGCTTTTTGTAGCCCGCCATTCTTCACCAACTTCACCATTTCTTATTACTTTCCCCCCTCCTTGCCCTTCTCCACCTTCTACTGACCAAAAAATTGTTACAAACCCTATTTTTCTTCAACAAGAGCCATCAGAGACCAAGACCCATGAAACTATTGGTTGTGAGTCATGTGGGTCTTCAACAAGTTCAGATTCTAGTGAAGAAGAAATGGCTAAAGAAGAAGAAGAAAGGGAAGACATGGGTAAAGGACATTTTGGGTACTTTTATATGCAAATGCAACCACCACAGTCACCGCAGACAGATTTTGGTTGGGATTTTTTTAATCCATTTGATACAATGAGAGTACCAGAAATTGTAAGTGGGTATAGGAGAAGTTCTGATGATGATTTAAGGGTTGTAAGGGAAGAGGAGGGGATTCCAGAGCTAGAAGAAGAAGAAAAAGAGGAAAAACCAGTTGTATTTGAAGAGAAAGAGAAAGGAGAGGTTGAAGAAAGTGGAAATGATGTTGATATGGTTAAGGTGGTGGAAGAAGGTGTTAATGGAAGCCAAGGAGCGCAAAAAGGGCTTACTGTTATTGATGTACCAGAAAAAGGTAGAGAACTGTTAGAGGCATTGAAGGATATCGAAGACCATTTTATTAGGGCTTATGATTCTGGTAAGGATCTTTCAAGAATGCTTGAGGCTAACAGAGTTTATTTGCAGTCTGGGTTGGAGGAAATAAAAGGTAGGTGTATCAGCTTTTGCTTTTTTTTTTTTTTTAATTTGTTTCTTGTGAATAAATAATGTCATTTTATAGATTATAATCAGTTTTTGCTTGAGTCCATTTTTTCAGTTGTAAAATAGTATTCTAAGTAATATGCTATAATATGTTTACATGTAGTTTCTGGTCATTTTTTATTTTTGTATTTTTCCACCTTTTATTGCTCCTCCGTTCTATTTTTCCCTTTTTTATCCATTTTCAATTTCTTTCCTTTTTCAATAAAAAAAGAAAACCAAAACCCTAACTTTCCTAAGTTAGTCAATGTAATGATACATTTGAAAGTCTACAACATAATTTCAAATGCAAGCTGTTCAGTGAGATTTATAAGATGAGAGATTTTTTCCATTTCATTTCTTCAAACTGGTTGAAGAAATTATAATTTTCGTCTTGAAATGATGATGCCTTGTTTAAATTGTGGTCTATTTTTATTTTTATTTCTTTTATATGCCCATTTCTATATGGCTTTTTATGTTAATTACTGAATCTTCTTTGCAGAAAGTAAGAATGGTCTCTATTACTTATTTCATGAAATGAACCTTCTTCTTCTTTTCCATGCCTTAAGATTTTTCATTTGTTTATACTGTTTAAGTCACCAAATTCCATTTGTTTACGTTCTGGAACTATTTAATTTTGGCATGCTAAGATATCTCCCCGTTTTCTTTTGTCTACGAATTTCTGTGTCTTATTCTTCTTCCATTGCTTTTTCTCGTCTTTTATTTTCCATTACTGACTTTTGCCCTCCAAACTTTTGAAAAGATCCACAGTGGGCCTTCTCTTTCTTTCTTTCTTTTATGTAATCTTTGTAATACCTTCTTCTGTTGAAAAGATCTGCCTTAGCTAATTCTGTTGATTTTTTATGTAAGGAATCGAATTTAATTTTCTGAAGTTCCACCTTCTCTTTTGTTTAGTTAGAACAATATTTCCATTATTCTCTACTTTGTTTTTTCCTGCTAATTGTTTCTACATGAAGTTAAAACTTGCGATCTTGCAACCCTGAAGATGATTCTTGTGCCACTCAGCCAAAGAATGTTGAATTGCTTATATTTTCTTTGACTTGTAACATGGTTTCTCTTGTCTTCCTTATTAAGGTCTATTTCATTGTTAATTTGCCTTTTAGCTTGTGCCATGCTTTTCTTTCTTTTATCCTTCCATATCCTTTTCTTAGAATGTTTTGTGGGTCCTTATCCCCTGCTTTTTTACTAAAGGCTCTGAGATTCACTAGTGAATCTTGGCTTTTATATCACATTTGTTTTCTTTATAATGTAAATTCGTCTCTTGCCTTTTATTTTTAATTTCTGGTGCTTTTATCTTCTTTTTCTGTGATGAATGTACTAGCATTTATGCTAAACTTTTGTTATCAAGCTCACAGAACTAGCCTTCATCTGGTTTAATGCAGAGAACTCAACAAAGCTCATCCAAGCTATTACATGGCATCGGTCAATTTCATCGAAGCCTTCATCATGCAAGAGTCTTGTGGCATCCAGTTCCAAAGGTTCAACTTGGACAGAATATAAGAACGATCTGTTTGATGATTATGGAGGAATGGATTCAGGAAGCCATTCACTAACACTCGGGAGGTTGTACGCTTGGGAAAAGAAGCTCTATGAAGAAGTCAAGGTAAATTAAACTCACTTCAAGCTATATTCCTTATATTCATAATTTATTTGTTTCCAGAAGAAATCAAAGAATTTCTTAGGAACTATATATCATGCCTTTGGCATTTCAAAATTCTGTGCCAATGTGTACATAAATACAGGCATTTACCAATTTGAAACTATATAACATTTACCATGGAGCAGAAACTGTATCCTAGAATAGTGCCTAGGTGCTCAACTCCAAGTCTATGCAAATTCTGTGTTTGATTAGCATTTTCTTATATATAAGCATCATTTCAATATTGATGCCATCCATCTCATTGTATTTTTAAGTTTATTACTTCAGCCTACACTTCAATTATTTTATGGTATTCAACTCTCCAAGAAATGGGATTTTATAAATCTCGACTGTTTTGCATGCATGAGGCTCTTAAGTAAGCAGCAGTCTGTTTTGGCAAACTAATGATCACAATGACAAAATGCATAGGAATTAAATTTGGTTTTCATTAGAATGTTCTTAAAGGTGAATTCAATAAGCGAAAAAGACTTGCAAATGGGCTCAAAATCCAATTCATGATATTTCTTGTTTAAACAACTCATTCTTGACTTAAAATTTCGAGTTGGTGTCTTGAAAGCTTTCTTTTGTGGGAATATAGAAAGAAATCTTCTCCTTTTTCTTCCTTCCACTAGTCCGATTTTGTTTTTCTGTTATATTTTGACACCTCAGGCTGGAGATAGCACACGGAAACTTTATGAAAGGAAATGTTCACGACTGAGAAACCATGATGTCCAAGGAGAAGATTATCTTGCCATGGACAAGACCAGAGCAGCAGTAAAAGATTTATATGCTAGGATTTTGGTTGCAATTAGAAGTGCTGAGTCAATCTCAAAGAGAATTGAAAAACTTAGAGATGAAGAATTGCAGCCTCAAATAGTAGAACTCTTAAAAGGGTAAGTAACCAATTTACCTTTAGAAAGGAAAAGCAACTATCTTTCATTTTCCTTCTTAGCATTCCTTTTCTTTTTGGTTCTCAATATGCAGCCTAACCCACACATGGAAGATCATGTTGGAATCGCATGAAACCCAAAACAAGATTCTCTTTGAAGTGAAATCTTTTGCCTCTCCTGCACATGGAAAGTTCTGCAATGACTCTCATAGGCTTGCAATACTTCAGCTTGAGGCAGAGATTAATAATTGGCGCTCGTGCTTTACTGAGTATGTTGCAGCACAAAAGGCATATGTCGAAGCTCTGCATGGTTGGTTAACTAAGTTCTTAGTACCTGAAGTTGAATTGTACTCTAGAGGCAGGAGTTCTGCAGCACCATATCGGGCTGCAGGTCCCCCATTGCTAGTGATCTGTCATAATTGGTTATCTTCAATGGAGAACTTACCACATAAGTCGGTATGTTTTGCATTGAAAAGCTTTTCAAAGGACGTAAGGGCTTTATGGGCGCAACAAGGAGAGGAACAGCAACAGAAGCGAAAAGTTGACAATCTTGCAAAAGAACTTGACAGAAGGACTCTAACATTACAAAAAGCTGAGACCAGGTGTCTGGAATCCAAGTTTATAGAATACAAATCTGAACAGGATGTAGAAAACCGTGATTACAACTTGACAGAGAAGAAAGATCAGTTGGACATATTAAGGCAGAAGCTGGACATAGAAAAAGAAAAACACCACAACTGCATGCAGGAAACACAGAGAATCACATTAAGTGGATTTCAGACAGGATTTTCGACAGTTTTTGAGTCCTTAACAGATTTCTCCAAGGCTTCTATGAAAATGTACAACGATCTTGTGAATTGCAGTCAGAATCTTGGAAAACTAGATAACCAATCATATATAGAAGGTGCTGAGGTTGAAGAAAGTGGCGGCAGGTGACAATTAAAAAAAAAAGCTTTAAATGAGCTTCTAAGAATCTACTAGTGTTTGTGGATTGCTTGTATATTATTTCACGTCGAAGCAGCTCGCTGAGACAAATTAATTTCTGTTTTTCCAGGTTTTTAAAATGGATTAGTAGATTGTTTATTGAGAATGGATGTTATTTGTATTGCCTACATTTTGGTTGCAAATTTCCTTGTTTCTTGCATCTTTTTGAAGAAAGTACAAGAAATGCAAAGATGGGGAAATTCCAGTAGGCACTTCTTGTAATTACTTATATTATAAAAATGGCGCTGAAATAGAGGAGTTTAGTATTGTTTTTGTGGTAAATAAATGACTAAATGGTGAGAAAAGTGGTGCTCAGTTATTTTGGGTTTATGTTCAAGTTCTATATGCGTTTGCCATACTATTAAGTCTGTATTTGGGCAAATTTAGTTATGACCACGGCGGAAATGAGACAAAATATTCATAAAAACCAGTTTTAACTGTTTAAGATATTGAGCTGATGGGTGATGAGTGGTCAAAATGGTATATCAGCCTTTGCTGAGTGGCTAAAACATGAGGAAGAGGAAGTATCCTGAAAAGACTTCTTTTTGGGTTTCCCTAGGATTCAATGAGAAATTATTTATATTAATGAAGAAGGTTTCTTTTCTTGACAAGTTGTCAGCTTAGCTGACAGTTGCAGGAATTTTGTACAGAAAATAATGGTGAAAGAACCCACCAATTATGCTTCTTTCTGGACACAAGCATCAGATTAGTGCAAAAGCATTATGAGACTTACAGACTTGTATTTCTGTTAGAGAAGATTGAACTGGACATTTATTAATGGTGTGAAAATTTTTGAAATGTATAATTAACTCATTCGAAAAACTAAACTACTCTATTAGATTGGTACCTTGTTTATGTTTGGATGGGAGAAAAGAAAACAAGTGAAGAAAAGAAAAAATAACAAAGGAAAGAGATTTTGTACTATTGTCAATCATTTTCTTTCTTTGCTTATTTTCTTTCCTCTATAATCCAAAAGAAAGTGTTAGTGTCTAAAGAGCCAACATTCATTAAGAGATACAAAGATAATAATAACAATCAAACAATTTATAAAACTTCCTTAATTAAAGTTATTTACATCACTAACAACGATTGGATTAACGGCGATAGATTGCATCATCAGACAAATTTTTATATACTAAATTAGATTTGAAGTTTTACTTGAAAACTAGCCGGCTCAAAAACAGAGACTGTGTATACACCAAAAAGAAAATCTACATTATCATAAATATTTGACAGTATAGTTAATAGATTTTGTTGACATTCAACAATTTTAACAAATTTAAAAATAAAGCTCTGGGTTGTTTCCAAAAATAAATTAGATTTGTAAAATATTTTTCTTGAATATAGTTTATAAATAACTCATTTCTATTGTTTGATTACAATATTAAAAATTAGAGAAAATTTATTATAATTTATAAGACATTATTTAGAATTATAGAAATTTTAAATTTATAGTCGTGTTTATTATTAATAAAAAAATATATAAAAATGATAAATTTATGTTTTCGGATGCGAGCAAAAACGAAAATCAAGTCCAAGATAAACCGAATAAACAATAACATACACGGACATATAACAGATTCTTTGTTACTCACTTGGCTCAATTCCATCTTTCTTTCTCTTGCTTATTTTTCCTCCTCCTATCAATTCCAAAAGAAATGTTAGTGCGTCTAAAGAGCCCAACACTTCCTTAATTAATGTATGATACAAACCGATAAATAACAATTCAAACAATTTTATAAAACTTCCTGTAATTACCACGTTATTCTACATTCATCTAACAACCGATTGATTAACGGTCGATAGATTCGCTCCTAATCATCCAGCGACCATAATTTTTATATACCTAAATCTAGAATTTGACAGTTTTTACTTGAAACACTTATGCGTGGCTCCAAAACACAAGACGACCTCGTGCTAATACACCAACAAAGAACAATCTACATCTCTCCATAAATAATTTGACACGTGTATAGTTTAACCTAGATTTTGCTCTGACATTCAACAATTTTAACAAATTTAAAATTAAAGCCTCTGGGCTTGTTTTCCAAACAACATAAAATCTAGACCTCTTGTAAAACTATTTTTCTTTGAACTATAGTTTTTATAAACTAAACTCACTTTCTATTGTTGTATCTTACTCAATCTATCTCAAACAATTAGAGATAACACACTTTATATCAATCTTTTATAAGAATTATTAGAATTTATAGCAGAAATTTTAAATTTACTAGTCGTTTTATTATTAATAAAACACTATATACAAAATGATAAATATGTTCTATTACTCTTATAATATCCTTATTATATATATATCCTTATATCTAAGCAAGAGAATGATTTCTTAATCGGTGTTGACCAAATCTCAGACAGGCGTGTGATAAAGGCTTATTTCAAGAGAAATGATTCTATAATCCAACATCAGGCGTACCACAAATACCAGATCAACGCAAATGATAAAAGAGATAATAATGCCATGCCTTCACAATTTAATGGACCATTGATAGGTTCGGCAAGCAAATCTCGCTCTCTCAAAAGTTGGAGCTTGTCTCTAACTTCTGCAAACTTAAATGAAATGCTCATGTTTCACATTTTATCCAAATATACATTTACGCGCATTTCCTAATTTCTGCCACATTCTCGTCACCCACTCTCACTACAGTCCCCATCTCCTTTTCCGTTCATGAACGAACAAAAAAAAAAAAACAAGTCCTCATTAGTAAATTGTGTCAAGTGGAAGTGCCCATCAAAATGAATCCCTCCGATGCACCATTAATTTAGTTTGGACCTATCAACCAGCTTTCTATTGAGTTCATTGAGTTCAATACGCTTGCTTTAGCTTCACAACACAAAGCGGAAACGACTATTTCAGATCTCAAGTATCGTATTGCACCATATATAAGAAAGAGAATGATTTAATGGTTGAAAATTGAGACAGGTGTGATAAAGCTATTGAAGAGAAATGATCTATCACATCAGTAAAACAGACAACGCAAATGATAAAAGAGATAATAATGCCATGCCTCAAATTTAATGGACATGATAGGTTGGCAGCAAATCCGTCTCTCAAAAGTTGAGTTGTTCTAATTCTGAAAACTTAAATGAATTGCTCATGTTTCACATTATAATAATTACCGATTTTATTCTGCCCAATCTGTCACCATTAACAAGTCCCATCTCTTTCGTTCAGACGAAAAAAAAAAAAAAAAGTCTCATTTAGTAAATTGTAAGTGAAGTGCCATAAAATGAATCCCTCCATGCACATAATTTAGTTTGGACATAACCAGCTTTCTATGAGTTTCATTGAGTTCAAGCTGCTTTATGATTCACAAAAAAGGGAAAGGATATCAGATTCAGATGTATTGCACCAGAAATTGCTCCAGACTTTCATGTTCACAATCTTGTGTTCTAAATTATATAGTTTCACAATTTAAAAGTAGCTTCCATGTTTTTTCCAATGTACATCAGTAAAGAAAGACGAAGTTGTCAATACATGACTGAAAGTACCTCTTCATATAGATAATACTTGCACATGTTTTTATTGCAATTCTCTAACAGATTTCAGATTAATGCATTTGTTACATTCTGTTTGTAGGTTTGTACAAAGGCAATGATACACATCCTAATTAAAAAAAAGCTCAGGTATGATCATGCAAATGAATAATTACAGGTTTAATTGTTACCAATTACAATTTAATCCTACCTTAGGTAAAGCGAAATCAATAATTGAGAAAAAAGAATGAATTCACTAACTACAGCAGCAGGGGAGTGTAAGCCTAGAAATGGGACAATGTCCACCTGCAACCAACTCTCAACAGCTGAACCCACCACAGCGCCGGCAACAAGCCCTCCTAAAGCTATTACAGTGGCCTTTCCTGCAGTATGTCACAGTAAACTGTATTAGATGCTTTCCAATGTCTGATTCGCTGAATTTCTGAAGAACATCGAATTTACTCTATGCAAGCAGACAACTAGTCTAAGTCTTGGCATTCTTCTTATTCGTTTTCATGTAATTGTCAATCATTGAAACAAGTATTAATATTTTTCACAAGAGACCCACTACTTTGCTGAAGATCCGTTCATCGGCTAGGCCTAAGCTTCGGAATTTCGATATTTTGCAAAGGCCTGGTCCACTTGACACACTTTCCCATGGCCCAGGCCCCAAACAGGTCTATGGTGAATACCAATTCTGACTAACTATTTAAGTTTTTTTAAAGAGCAAGAAGAAGAAGAAGAAGAAATAAATGCGGAGTCTGATTTTATACAGTCAAACCATTTAAGTTTTCAACTGCCACGTGTCAATCTCATGTCTTGATCTTCCTTATATGGCAATACCATTTTGCTTACTTTCCCTTCCTTAATGAATATATCAGCAGAAGAAGGTCATCAAAATCAGGAAAAGAAGTGACACTTGATAGGCAGTATAACCTTAACAGACTAAACTAGATATAGCATGGTACTCTGAATAACATCAGAACAACATCTGAAACCACCACAGCCTGAAGTGTTCCCAAATTCATGAGAAATGAAATTTAACTCTCCAGATCCCTTTCATAATCAAAAGCTTAGGTTATAGCAACAGGCAAGAGCAGGAAGTAAGCTATTCGGTTTTCACTAAAGATGGACTTAGAGTCGGAATTTGCATCATGCGTTGGTTTCATTAAGACTGTTTTTGCCACTTGTTTTAATCTACAACTGGGGGATAAGCATCCTTCTCTGTTCTATATCTCCTACATGTCTAACAGTTATGAAGTTGACATGATCAATCAATTGTAAAATTTCTATCATTCAGAACTATGTAACTTTTCATGACTCTTCCAACTTCAAAAAGTGCAGGAAATGTTAAAATTTCTGCAAAGAAACCCTCTAAAATATTCATTAAAAACCACATAGAAAGATAGCATTACCTAACTTCACATTCTTTTTGGTCATGAAGTACAAGGAAGCTCCAAAACTCGTGGCTAAGATCAACCCAGGAACATCAGCCCCACCATAAGGTGCCACAGGTGATGTAGAAGCTCCATTAACATAGGTTAAAACCATCATAGCTCCATAAACTCCTGCTTGTATTCCCAGATCACCAGTTGATGGCGTTTCCACTGAAATGGGTGTATTTTTCATACTTGCCTGTAGCCACTGAGTTACCGATCCCATCCCTGGGCCATTTATTGGTTTAACATCAGCATAGCGGATGGCACTATTTACAACTTTTCCAGCTCTACGTTGAGTTAAGCTTCGCATAAGCAACATATCATACGCAGCCTCAACCTAAAATGCAAGCAACTATATAGATTAGAAAAACAATCATTAAAAAAAAAAAAAAAACATTATTATTATATTACTTGGCAATATCAACAGCGAAACTTTCTCTGAGCACAACTTAGGCTCACGATTATAGATAAAGAATATAATTTGAGAAAATTGCGGTGAAGCTAATGAAACTATCCCTACAAGTTACAATTTAAATCAATACTACTTATAGCTTCAAGCAGAATTATAATTCAATGGGTCTAAATATAAGCAAAAGCATCTAATGAAAAAATAGAAAAATGTAAAATTTTCTTTTGCCTTACTGAAATTTTGAATAATAATTCATAAAGAACATAAGGAGTTTTTGAACCTTACAACATTCAAAAAGCTTCAAATAATGGTTGAAACAGGATGTCATAATTGAAGCTTCGCATACAACACATACAAAGGGCGCGAAATTACACACAACATATTTTAAAGATCCATTCAAGAAGATTAAATTAAATCTAATGGAGGAACTGGTATGTTATAGCTAGTTGTCAAAGCTAGCAGTTCAATTTTCCACTATTGCATTGCTCGTAATGACAGGTACATAGTTGTGAAAATCGCACCTTAGGCGTGCCTGACTGAAGACGCAGGTCCTGGAGCCGCAGGAGCAAGGCGCAAAACAAGCGCACCTTTTGTGTTTTTATACCACAAACAGATGTTAGGGCTTTTTTTTTTTTCAAATATGTGGTCCAACAGTGTTTATATAGGCTCCTACGAATAACTTAAAAAAAGAAAACTCTAAAAGGATTAGAAGATATTGGTTGATTAGAACTGCAGAAGGGAAGAAAACCATGCAGCTCCACCTCAATTTGGGTATGTATGTTAACATTTCCCTCAATTTTTTTCTCAATTTCCCTCTCTATCTCTATTTGATTCTACTCCAATCTCTCTTAAGTCTAATAGCTTCAATTACAAGCTGTTATGCAGCCAAATCTTTCGCTGATTTATGCTGCTGAAATTACAGGACAAATGGTCATTATTTTTAATTTACGGCTGTTGAAAGTATGATTTATATATTAAGTTATTAAGTTAATTAGTTTAGGGCTGCTGAAATTATTATTTATATATTAAGTTATTACATTAATTAGTTTAGGGCTGCTGAAAATAATTATGTTTTTTATATTAAGTTAATTATTTTAGTACTGCTGAAATTGTGATTTATAAGCACATTAAGGTATTCAGACCTGTAAGTTGATATATGTAAACACATTAAGTTAGTAACTTGCATGCAGACTTTGATCAATTGGAAGTTGGAAGTAAAAAAGTTTTTTTATATAAATATTATGAAATTCACTTAGTCATATTTTATAAAAATTGTATACTTATTCATTTATTTATTCAAAAAATTCAAATGCACTTAGTTCATTTGTCAACTAAAGTTACTACATACACTAATTCTTTACTTGACGAAAAGCTATCTTTAATGCTTGTACAAGTTTTAAAATGCAATGACCTGAACTTTTAATGTTATGATTTGGCATGAAGCAGGACTAGGATGCATTTAGAACGAATGTCGGACCATAATTCTTAACATCTTCTTATGCATAGCCTTTCAACTATATTTAGATATTCTAAGTATTAGATAGTATTAAGATGAATTTTTTGTTCACATTTAGAATTATTTTGTATACATCTATATATATATATTGCACCTCACCTCGCTTAGGAGCGCCTTAGCCTTGTGCCTAGGTTCTAGGACCCCCTTGCGCCTAACAACTGTGACCAAGGAACAGCATTCCCAAGTCCTAAAAATTAACTATCTAATGAATTTAAAACTTGAGAAGATACAGTTACTACACATCAACTTTACCAACTTAACAACATATGTTAGCTTTACAATAAATCCATGGTTAAAACAAACGCAACATAAAATTCAATTGATTACCTACTAAAAATCGATATTGAATTTTACAATCATGATAAGATTATTCCATTCAAATTTCACAGCTTTGTAAGCTAAACATTCAATTCCTCAATCCAATTGTAATAATTAAAGAATAATCTCGAAAAGTGCAAACTTAAATCCAATAAATAAAATTTAAGCCAGAACGTCAAAATCAACTGAATTAAACATCAAAATAACCTAAAAGCAGCTGAATTCATAAATTCACTAAAATAACCTGAGCAATCGCATCCTGGTCATCCTTGCACGTCGCAAGAATGGACTTTTTGGCGCGAAGTATATCATCAAACGAAGCGTTTTCCGAGACGCCAAGAAGTTTGAGTGCGTTCTCCACCGACATCTCAAACGGCGCCGAATCATCGGCTCGTGAACCGGCTCGCGCACTCCCGACGAAGGAGCGCCGGAGAGGCACGATTGTGACTCTCCAGGGGTCGTTCTTTAAGGACTTTATTTGAGAAGTGGTTGTGGCGGAGCTAGGTGGTCGAGGGAAAGGCGAACCAGAAGAGAGACGGTTAGGCCGGACGGAGAGTGTGGCCGCAGCCATTTTTGTGGACAAAAATGTAACGGACTGGTTATTGTGTTCGTAATAGAGTGACTGTAACTGGACGAACGAGTAAGCAGCGGTTTAACGAGATAGATTTTTTATTGAGGAAATGTTAAGGCGTTGACGCGGCATCATTACCTGTTGAATGTGGATCGTTCGATGGAATGGCTAGATGGTGTGATCAGAGGTCAACAGCATGTTTTCGTTTTCCTTTTTTTTTTTTTTTTCCTTGGAATATTATAAATACTCAATAATTGAGTCTCAATTATTATGTTGCAAACAAATTTCTTTAACGAAAATAAATGACTTATTTATTTACATGTGTTAAACTTATAATCTATGACAAATAATTTGAACTAAAATGGTAAATTTCACTATAATCTGGTTTGGGTTTTTTTTTTTTTTTTTTTTTGTGAACCGCCCCCCACTTCCCGCACGAAGATGTGCGCCCCGCGACGTGAGGCACCATTTTGTTTCCTTGCGACTCTCCAGGGTGGCTTCGTTCTTTATTACACTCCTCTATCTTGAGAAGTGGTTTTCTGTGGCGCGATGCCTATTGCGCTCGTCCGACTGGAAAACCGCGACACACAGAAGAGAGACGGTTCTAGGCCGGGACGGAGAGTGGTGGCCCGCAGCCATTTTTTGTCGGACAATAATGTCTAACCGGACTGCCGTTTATTGTGTTTCGTCAATAGAGTACTGCTTACACCTGGGCCACGAACGAGGTAACGCAAAAGCGTTTAACGAGATTACGATTTTTTACTTGAGGAAATGTTAACGGCGCGTTGACGCCCGCCAATCATATACTAAGTGTTGAACTGTGGATCGTTCGACTGGAACTTGGCCTTAGATGGCGTGTGATTCCACGAGCTGTCACACCAGCATGTTTTCGTTTTCCTTTTTTTCTTTTTTTTCCTTGCGAATACTTTATAAAATACTCCAATTAATTGAGCGTCTTCTCACATCTTATCTATGCTTGCAAAAACACAATTTCTCATAACGAAAATAAATGACCTTACTCTTACTTCTTTTAACATGTTGTTAATCCTTCCTTCATCACTCCTTTGACAAACACTAATTTGAGCTAAACAATCTTCCTCTTTGGTCTCTAAATCTTCACTTATAATCTGGTTTGGGCTCTCTTTTTTTTTTTTTTTTTTCTGGTTTAACACTCGGCCACTTGGTATTTCATTAATACACGCGAATATGATGCTCATATAGCGCATTACGTTCTACATCTTGCACTAATTTCTTTAATTTAAACCAGTTGCCCCAGCTAGCCTCCGCTGCGGCAACAAAAATGACTCTCCGTGCACCTCCAAAAAACCTAAAACTTCTAGAAGATCCTTTTTTTTTATTTTAATTTAATCCACATATCGACTCTCACTCGCGTGATCACCTTTCTTTTTTTTTTTTTTTTTTTTAACTCAATCCTGTATCCCTCCTCTCCTCCTCTCCTCTCTCCCCCCACCCCTCCCCCTCGTCTCCTTCTCCTCTCTCCTCTCTCCTCTCCCTCCCCCTCTCCTCTCCTTTCCTACCCCTAGCTCACTCTAAAACTACTTTCCCATTGCTCGCTTTCCCCCAAATATTACTATACTTGAGATTCCACATTTTACTCTTACTTCTGAAATTTCTTTTATTTTATTCATTTAGTTTTCCTAAAATCCCATTCACTTTCATCATCCCCTCTATACATGATTCATGAGCGCTATACGCGTCTCTTTTGTCTATCTTGAACTAGGATACATCTTATCGCTGAAAGAGACTGCCAGCTCTTCTCCCTCTAATAGCAACAGACAAACAATTTGAAGTAATCAACTCTTTGACCTTGTAGAAAAATCTCATCCAAGCGCCTTCGAACTCAAGTCCGTCCATCGACATTAAATCATATCCCAATTTACAAGCCAATTTATCTATTTTTACTCTTATTTAAATAATTTACTTATCCTAGACTTTCTCTAGTCTCTTGTTTGTTTCGTCTTTCGCGCGTATTCCCTGCCCCGTTTACCCACAATTGGCATAGGCCTATTAGCGCTTGCACACTAGACACACTGGAACACACGTACACACCCAATTCTGATTAGATGTCAATTCTCCGGGTTTTTCAAACTTATCCGTGTTCAATTACTATAAATAGGTGTCAGCTCGACTCTCATACTTACCTCCCTTACTACTAAAAATAAAATTTTCCGGTACCCTTAAATTAAATATTCTTATCTTTTTAATCATCTCTATAGTGCGTAAAAAACCAACTCATTATAATTAATGTATCACAGAAGCACATCTCAGCGCAAAATGCACAGTTTCACATCCTACTCTTCACCTTGCCATGATTTACAACAACTCATACATTCCTTTAAAAATCCTTACCGTCACATCAAATATTAATTTTTCGGTATTTCTTTTCACCATTAGTATTCATTAAGATATTAATTAAAAATCTCTTCATTTACATTCCCACAATCCATCAAATTTTTTTTTTTTTTTTTTTTTTAAATAATCTTTGTATCTGTATCTAAAACTAAGTTATTGTCGTCCAAATATTATATTGAGATTCAATTTTACTCTTATTTTGAATTTTTTATTATTAGATTTAGTTTTAAATTATTATTGTCATCATTATAATGATCATGTATAGCGTCTTTTGTTATTTGAATAGGATAATTATGCTGAAAGAGATGCAGCTCTTCTCTCTAATAGAAAGAAAAAATTTGAAGTAATCAGATTTGACTTGTAGAAAAATCATAAGTCGAACAGTGGTCATGAATAATCACCAAATAAAGCAATTATATTATTTATATAAATAATTTATTATTAGATTTTCTAGTCTTGTTTGTTTGTTTTGCGTATTCCTGCCGTTAAATGGCATAGGCTATAGCGTGCACACTAGAACCACTGGAAAAGACAAATTCTGATTAGATGTCAATTTCGGGTTCAACTGGTAATTATATAATAGGTGACAGTGTTATATACTTACCTTTATATAAAAATAAATTTGGTACCCATTAAATTTAAAATTATTATTAATATTTGATAGTGTAAAAACCAATATTATAATTAATGTATAGAAGAATTAGCAAAATGAAGTTCATCCATCCTACTTTACTTGCATGATTTGACAAAATATACATATTAAAAATTTAGTCAACAAATATTATTTTGGTATTTTTTACCATTAATTCATTAAGATATTAATAAAAATCTTTCATTTAATTACAATCATAAAGATTATTAGGAGAAAAATAATTTTTAAAAATATATAAATTTAAAAATTTTGCAAACATTTTGAAATATCTAAAAAAATAAAAATAAACAAAGAAAATGGAAGGGGAAAAAGCATGTATTTGCTTTCATTATATATAGGAATATCCATTCAATCTTCAATCTGTCACAATGAAGTCTGTTTTGTTTGAATTTATGATTATTCAAGTTCAACACCGTGTCCATGTTCACTGGAAGGTCACGAAACTGGATGATGGTATCAACGAAGTCTTAGTGCTCTTTTTGTTAAATAGTTTTTGAGCAGCATCTGAAACATCAAGTCGTTGTAGTATAGTGGTGAGTATTCCCGCCTGTCACGCGGGTGACCCGGGTTCGATCCCCGGCAACGGCGTTTTTTTTTTTTTTTAACGTTTACTGATCGATAAAGTAAGATTTTCAACCTTGATTTTATTTTTTTTGTGATTGGAATTCAATACTTGATTATTTTTCATTATCTCAGCATTAGACTTAGCAGTCAGTATTTATAGAGAAAATGAATAATTCGCATCAATCACGGAAGGGAAAAATCTAATTAAGAGCTTATATGGTATAATCATACAAGATGCAACCATAGCCACTCTACATGCATATATTATTAGAATTAGTCCACTTTTGTGTCTCAATCTAGGTTGACAATAACTAAAAAAAAAATTACATAATGCACATGCTAAAAAACATGCAAAGTTGAAAGTTGATTTTTTTTTTGTTTTTTTAAAACAACCGGTATCCGAATTCTAAGAACCAGAAACCGCCTAATCCGGTTCGGGGTTAGATACAGTTAAGAATCTTCATCCCTAGCTGCAGGTGTGTTTAGTGAAGATCAAATACGAAAGCTCTTTTCACATGTCCAGCTTTCATTGCTAACTGAGCTACAAGCCGAAGGTTGAAAGTTGATTTCTTAGTATTGCCTAAACCTGTAGTTGTAAGAGTTCGTTTTTCTTCTCTTCTTATTTAAAAAAAAAAAAACAAAATACAAGATATAAAAAGGTCCCTTGACACTGATATGGCCCATTTTACCTTATTTTCTTTTGATTTTATTAGTAGAAAGTGCAATAAACCATGAAAGATTTAGAGATTTTAATTTGGTGAAGGTGAATGATTTGGTGTTTGAACTTTTAAAAAATTACCCATAAGTAGTGACACAAGTAGTTAGACACATTTAAGTATAGTTGCTCTCAATTTGTGGGAATGAAGAATTTGTGTAGTTGTGTAGTTGGAACTTTTAAAATTACCCATGAGGGTTTGCTTGCAATTTGTGTAATTGCTCTATCCTAACAGCTGAGCTATGATGAATGTTTCTGGGTCTGCAGGTTGCTTGGGATTCTGGTATTAGAACTCTGCTTGTGGAAGTGGATGACTCACAAGCTTGCTCTATGCTTACTCAGTCTGCTCCTCTTCCTTCTCATGTGGCTAATCTGATTCTTAACATAAAAGAATTGCTTACGAGAGATTGGCAAGTCCATATTTTCGCATATTCATAGATAATCATGCTTTTGATACTCCTTCACAGGGACCTTCTTATGGTTTTAAGTTGATGTTACTTTTATGTTTCTATTCTGTCATTTTTTATAATCTTTTCTAGGTGCAGATTACCTATTGCCAATGATTTTTCGTTTCCTTTTCTTTACCGTAAAATGTACTAACATTAAATTTCTTTATAGGAAAGTACACTCAGTCATAGAATAGCTGGTTAAATAAATTCTGTTTGCTATAACTAATTTATTAATGAAATTATTATCAATTTATTTTAATAATATTTTTTTATGTAATAGAATTTATTTTATCTATAATAAATTTTGATTTTTTTATTTTTTTATTAAATGCATTTATAACCATTTACATATAAATAATTTACCAACATACTTAATTCTCATAGTTTTATGTTCGAAACTTAAAGTTAATACTCTATTTCTAATTAAATTTAAATGCACAATCTATTTAAACGGAATAAAAAAAACATAATCTATTTTATTATTGATTTCAACATGAAATTGCAAATAGTATTTTTTTTATAATAATTATTTAAACAATATCAATTTTATGCTAGCGAAATACGGAATTTCCGAGTAGTATTACAAGAAGCATATAATCTTTATATGGAACCTTGATAACCTATTTCTTTTCCCAAAAATTTTGAAAAAAAATGAAACAAAGAAAACAAAATATCGAACAAATATGTGGGAATGAAGAATTTACATTAGCCTAGTACGTGGCAAGGACCATGTTCACATCTTTCCGACTTGGCCATATAGGAAATGAGTGTAGTGTTGTAGACAAGCAGTCAAGCACCAGCCAGAAAGAAGCAAAAATCAAATATAAATAATAAATTGCCATCAGCTTTCTTTATGTAGCCAATTTGAGTAGCAGTTAAAAAAAAAAGCCCGTTAAAGAGAGGGAAAAGAAATGTTGGGTTGTTGGAAGTTCCCACTCACAATCCCGCCATCTTCTATAAACACAAGATATAGAAATGGGTTTTCTTGCAAAGCAGAAACCCCAAAAATCCATGCTAATAATGGAGACCAGAGCAGCAATGACAAGAACAATAAGAAAGTAGTCATCGTTGGCTCTGGTTGGGCTGGTCTTGGTGCAGCTAATCACCTTTGCAACCAGGTTACTGTTCTTTTGGGTGTAAAATCTTTATTGTTTTCTATGATGAATAAATTAATTGTAATTGAGGTTAAATATTTTGTTTTTGATTGGGATACTTTTAGGGTTTTGATGTTGCTGTTCTTGAAGATAGTAATGGTTTTGGCAGTCCAGATGATGTTGGTATCCAAGGTAAAATCATTATTGGTCTCAAAGAATAGCAGAGGATTTATTCCAGATTACTGTTTTTGATAGTTGAGTGTAATATTCTCTATTTATTTATTTATTTATTGTAATTCAGGTTTTTGGAATCCCTACCAAAATATATTTAGTCTTGTTAATGAACTGGGTATCACACCGTTCACTGACAAACTACAATCTGCACTTTATTCTACCGGGGGATTGGAGGTAATTAAATTTATTTTCAAATTAGAAAAGATTCATAAAAATGGTTGTCTGACCAATTAGCTTTGGCTCATTAGTATTGGAGTAGTAGGGTTGTGAGTTTGCTAATTTGAACTGTAGTCAGAGCCAGTAACAAAAAAAAAAAAGAGTTGGTTGAACAACTTGTATAAAATTGTTTGATTAACTCCATTTCTAGTTGTGGAATAAAATGGGAAATTCAAAAGTAAAGCTACTTCCCAATAGATTTTCTTTATTGTTATTAATTTTTTTTGGTTTAATGATAAGGTGGTATAATAGGCCAACTTTCATACACGGGATTTATTAAGATAAACAGATGCAATTGTTGTTCTGCAGGTTGAATTTCCAGTATTCCAAGATCAGCCTCAACTGCCTACACCCTTGGGAACCTTGTATTATACTCAAGTATGCCTTAAATTGTATCTTTAGGACTTGCAATTCTCAGTAATAAAGATTTATAGGACTTGCAATTATAATCTTCACTATGTTATTATGTGCAGTTTGCAAGGCTTCCATTAGTGGATAGATTAACATCGCTTCCTCTAATGACTGCAGGTGCACTCTTTTATTTGATCATTTATTTGTATTTAATGAACTAGTGTGTTTACTGTTATAGGTGCTTGCAGTAAACTGACATTACTTAGTCAACTATGCATTGGTTATCAAGTCTTTTAACAAAAACCCTGTTTCTATAAAACCTCAACTATATCAAACTCATACTTATCCCCAAGGGACAACCTGGTTGTTAAGGCTTGATGCTTGAGATTTCCTTTATAAGTTCTTAGGTTTACATTTTTGGCGGGGCAGGGGCTTTTATAGGAAAGGAAAATCCACCCTCTATTGTGTTATTCTTTTCAATTTTAAATGTACGCAAAAAAAAAAAAAAAAAAAAAAAATTGATTCCACTTTATTTGATATTCTCTCAATGACTAGTGTGTTTACTGATCCTATAGCTCCTAAACATGTGCCTTCTGCCAGCTTAAACTGACACATTACTTAGTCAAAACCCCCATCGCACTTGGTCCTTATCAAAGTCCTTTACACACATAAAACCCCTCCGTTTCTATAAATCCTCCAATCTATATCCAAATCTCCATTCATCTCATCCCCACAGGGGTACAACCTCTGTTGTAAGGCTTGATGCTTGAGATTTCCTTTATAAGTTCTAGGCTGTAACATCTTGGCGGCCCCCGGCAGGGGCTTCTCTGCTATAGGAAAAGGCATAACATCCCACCCTCTATTGTCGTGCTATTCTTTCTCCAACCTTTTAAATGTACGGCGCTCAAAACAACAAAAAAACAAAAAATACAACAACTAACTTGCATATTCCACCGGCTCTCCTATTCATACGAATTTGCTTTTTTCATCAGATAATCTCAGATACTTTTCCCCTACGTACCCCTCATGAGCCAACCACATTGTCCAAATTTGTATATTCTGAAGTTTTACGCGGATACTAGTAAAAAAAAAAAAAAAAAAAAAAAAAACTAATATTCCAGGTCTCTACTACGAATTTGTTTTTCCAAGTAATAGATACTCTAGTAATGAGCAACCAAGTCAAATTTGATTGTGAAGTAGGGAAGTATTTCCAGTGTCCCTAAATTCTGGTTTCAGCATTTGTCTCTACAAGATCCGGATGATTAAAAGAACAAAAATAAAATAATTCGAGATTTGATGAAAATTTCCATACTTGTATCCTGCTATTATCTTTTACAAATTGTATAGACTCGGTCTCTATCATATGTGAAGTGCTGACTGTAATTTTCTTGCTTGAGGCCATCGACAGCAGATACTTTGAGGCATTTATCATTTATAATATTTTCATTCTAGATCTAGAATATCCATTTTGTCCCTTCTAACACGAGGTTGTCAATAGCTTATTGCTATTTCTAGATTACATTTCCTCAAACTTATAATATATGGCACTCATTCATTTGTCAATAAAACAGAAATAGATAGTGGCATCCAAGTTATATGTTTTATGGTTGATATAAAATCAGTATGTATGTTAAGAATAGTTTTGTATCCTTTTGTAATTTCTGCCAACTGATTGTCAATCTCTATCTTCTGTTTGTAGTAATTGACTTTGACAACACTGACATGGCCTGGAGAAAGTATGATTCAGGTAAGATCTCAGCTGCAGCTGTGGATTTTCAGCGTTAGAAAATTACATTTTACCTTTACTTGACAGATGTCGATGAAGTGTCTTATTTGGAGGTTTACTGATAGTTACTGCGAGGGAACTTTTCAAACAGTTTGGCTGCTCAAAAAGACTTTACCAGAATGTTTTTGGTCCGTTGCTTCAAATCGGTTTGTTTGCCCCAGCAGAACATTGTAGTGCAGCTGCGACACTTGGATTGCTATACTATATCTCACTTGCTCATCAGGTATAATACTTGGTTTCCTTTTATTTTATAAAAACAAAAGTATATTATCGATGAATCTTAATAATTTTACATTTTGATGCCTCAATTTTATAATTCAGTGGTTATGATAGTGAAGTTGTACTCTTCTTTATTGCAGTATAATGATGAAAGCTAAGTTGTCTGTTAAATCTCCAAAATTTCCAATTCTATGTCATCTGAATGAAATAAATTTTACAAATCAGACTAGAATACTCATGTGGTTGCATTTCTATTTAAGTCAAGAATTTAAAATTCAAAAAAAAAAAAAAAAAAAAAAAATGATATATAAATTCTTGACAAAATCAGAAAATACTTCATTTGGTTTTTGCAATCTAGTAAGTCTCAAGAAATTGAAAAGTGTCAAAAAATATAAAAAAAAAAATAAAAAATAATTATGAAGAAGCCAATGAAAAGCTTCCTGTGTTCGTTGGATATTTGAGAAGTAAAGAATTAACTCTTACAAAGTTATCACGATTTTTGAAAAGAATGAACCTTTTCTTTGATTTTTTGGTTAACGCATTGAGCTCTGAACATTTAGGGTGAAACTTTCACAGTCTTCGTTCTTTTGAAGAAGGTGAGACTTCTGATGAAAAAAAAAAAAATTATTACATTTTTATCTTTTAGATATACACTAAGTAAAAAAAAAAAAAAAAAAAAAAAAAGGGAAAATTAGAATGAATCAATGAAAGCTTGCCTGGTGTTCGTTTGGAATTTGAGTAAGGAATATCTCTTTACGAGGTTATTATCGATTTTGAGACAAGAATTAACCTCTTTTTTATTTGGTATAACTGCTTGAGCTGGACATAGGGAAACTTTCACATCTGGCTTTGAAGAAGGTAGACTTGGAAAAAAAAAATCATTTTACTAGTATTTCTAACTTCTAATTGCTCTAGCTCATTTCGTACCTAAGAAGCTGATGTGTGAATAAGAATTAATTTTATTTCACCACCTAGCTACTTTAGGTTGATTGTATATCCTGGTAGGGAAATCATAGACACCTTTCCGTACATTGTATCCAGCATACTTTACTTTTCTAATCATTTGATAATTTCAACAAGCACACATTCCACTTTCTATATGCCCCAAAGTTCTTTCAAAAATTAATCCATGTTTCTTTAGTGGTAACAACCATAATGGTAATCAAATCAATCCATGTAAAAACAAATTAAAACATAAATAAGGAATCTACATAGTCAAGGGATGAAAGAACTCCATGTTTGGCTTTTCTTCTTCTTCTTCTTCTTCTTCTTCTTCTTTTATGAACTCTCAAGTGAGGCCAAATAGACTTATTAGTATCACATAACATTAGCTAAAATTTTTGTCTCAATGATTGCCTGGAGAACCGTGAAAAACAAAAAATAATGTTATCTTAAACTTTCTAAGCCATATCCATCTATATATTGAGGTGAAAGAGCCCGGGAAGAGCAAACATCGGTGCAAGAATTTCGGGAACAGAAATACCAATCGTTCTAGCTTTTTAGGATAATCCAATACATATACTGGATTGGTGGACATTGATCTATTCAACTAATGAGTTTTAATCTTCCATTTCTAGCTTTTAAGATCTGTTACATGACCCTTCTCCAACCATGCAAAAGCCTCTCAAAGCAGGGGGCCTTGTGTACTGAGGAGACCTAGCTTTGAAGATTTCTTAGGACATCTGGTAGGAGACTTGTATGCAAGTTATTTTTGTCGGGCAACCCATTTGTAAACAAATTATATGATATATTGAAGTTATCAAAACTCAAATCTCTGCCGGATCTAGCTTATTTTTTGAACACTGTATGCTTCTTCATCATTGCCAAGCATGTTTATATAATGTTATTGTTTTGCTTGATCAAATGGTCTACAAGTGTTTCTTGTGGGTTATTGCAGAAAGATTTTGATATGGTATGGTGTCGTGGGACCATTAGAGAACAGATATTCAATCCATGGATGGAATTGCTAAGGACTAAAGGCTGTCAATTTCTTGACAGTGGAAAAGTAAAGGATTTCGTCCTTAATGAAGAAACAAGTTGCATTTCAGAAGTGGTCTGCAGCAATGGGACCTATAAAGCTGATGCAGTTATTTTGGCTGCTGGAATCTCCGAGGTTCAAGAACTTGTCAAGAATAGGTTTGTTGTTCCAAAACCCATTTTAGTATCTTTTTCCTTTTTATATTAATCTGGAACTTGTTCAGCTGTCGAGTTAAACAGAAACTCTCTATTATATATTGTGTGCTCAAAAAAGTTCCGCATAGAATAGTTGATGAGCAGTATAACAATATTAAATGCGGTTAGTCTAAGCAAATTCGGAATTCTGTTTTATTAATGGAGTAGCATTCTCAGCTTCCACTGTATAAGCTGTCCTGTTTTAACTGGCAGTTGGTTTCTATGTAGTGCAGTATTATTTACCCGGGAGGAGTTTCTGAAAGTTTTGAACCTAGCTGGCATTGACGTACTTACATGTAAACTGCAGCTTGACAGAAAGGTTATTCAGGAACTTCTTGTTATTTGGCAGATATAGGAATAAAAGATAACTTAAAATATCATCAAAAGCTTACGTTCCACCTTCCAAGTTTCAATTTGCTTTTTCTTGGACTAATTATCAATTAAGTGAAAAATTGTGTTCTACAGAATTTCTTTTCACCTAGCTAATATATGGGTTCTACAACTACAAGTGTCAGCATGACAAATGCATAACACGTGATTATTTTACTGATTTGTATAAATTTCCTATATTACCAGGTCAGCATTCCCCACGCAGCCAATGCTTGTTCTGCATTTGATAATTCAGTTGGGTGGACTTTTTTCAACTTGAATGCAATTCATGATGAGCATAAAGACAGTCAAGTGACAATCATACGGGCTGATTTTGTGATTACCTCTTTTTCTGTCTTTAGTCCATTTTTCCATCTATTAAAGAAAATAAACTTTGATCTATCATTCATTACTCCCCATACAATTGGGGGAGTATGTAGGAGTTAATTTTTAATCGAATATATCAACTTCAATGTCTGTGCCACTTCTGTTCTAAGTTCTCATTCATCTTTGCTTTTAACTTCTGTATGCAGTATCACGCCAATGAGTTGTTGCCCCTTAAGGATGAACTTGTAGTTTCAAAAGTAATGTCTTATCTCTCAAAGTGCATCAAGGACTTTGAGAATGCTAATGTGACAGATACAGAGATTGCAAGATTTCCGAAGTCCTTGGCTCACTTCTTTCCAGGTACTGTTAATCTGTTATAAGAGGTTGGTTGACTGAGGAAAAAAAGTCTCTAGGCTGCATGCATGGATTTGATGATATCATATTGGATACTCTTAACTTGCTTATGCTATAACATGCTTTAAAATAATGCTAACTAGGCATTTTAGGTGGTAATTAAGACTAATAAGGCCTCATTTCAGATTGAGTTTGCCGCTTTACAAAATCGCATTTTGACCTTTTCTTGTGTTTTGAATTTTTTCTACTGCTTTTTGTAAACCATGGTTTGCAAAAAGCTGAGAAAAGCCAAAAAAAATGTAGAAAAAGCTGGAAAAAATAGCTTTTCCAAGTCCATGTTTGCTAGGATGTAAATATAGTAAAAGCACTTTGGCGAAAGCAATCCAACTGCATTGTTAACATACACTAATATCATTAGTATAAATGAATTCGACCACAATCATTTGAAATTTTATGTTTCATATTTGGTATAAATGAAGTTGCTGTGGAATTTAACATGACTAAACCAAACACTATCATTTGTAAATGAATTTCATACTTAAAAACCACCCATGCCAAACAAGGGTAAGAGATTAGCATCTGTATTGTTCAAAATTAACAATTTATATGTATGAGCATTTTGGTACTGAAAGTAATGATTCTTAGCATGTTTATCCTTCCACGACTGATGTAAAATTAAGTACTGTTTTCTATCAAATCCATTCCTCTATCTTCGCTTCAAAGTAAGCCCACTCTCTCATGCATCAGATCTACTTCATCTTTTTAGCAATTATATTTTTTATGTTATGTCTCTCAAAGGTTCATATAAATATATGATGCGGGGGTCTACATCTTTTCCTAACTTGTTCATGGCTGGAGATTGGATCATAACCCGTCATGGATCATGGTCACAGGTAGCATATTCACTTTTCTTTGTTTTACTAGAGGCTAATATGACATTTCTATTAGCAGTAGCAGATTTTGGAAAATCCTAGACTTCTCATGGGCCAATGAATAATAATTTCTTACAATACTATTTTCATGACCCTAAAGCTGATTTTTGGAAAAAGTTCAAAAATGAATTTTTTTTTTTCCATATCTAAATCTTTTTTTTTTCCAATATCAGTTTTGAAACTACAGAAAATCAATATTGCAAAAAGTTACATTTGTCGGAATATCAAGATTACTCTTAATTTTAGTCCGGAATCTGCTATTAGTAATAACAATGTACAACAAGCCTTAAATTTGGAAAACAGAAACTGAAGAATGATAACTGTGTCAACACATTGACCTAGCAGGAAAAGTCTTATGTTACCGGATTGGAGGCTGCCAACCGGGTGGTAGACTTGCTTGGAGAAGGAAGCTTTGCTAAAGTAATAGCTGTAGAGGAAGATGAGCCTCACGTCGAAGCTCTTCGGAGCCTTAACCGAAGGTTCAGTGAGATAACTGAGCAATTTCCATTGTTTGATTATTTCCTCCAGTGAGCTTGCAATTGGAATTTCTGCTGCAACGTAATGTAGCATTACAAAGTTTGGAAAAAATGCTTAATTGTTAATTTTTTTGCTGGTTTCATTTTTGAATACACCTAAACAAATTATTCTGCTGAAGATAAAGATGTATTTGATTGTATTTTCTGTTGAAAACATTACTTGCAGCTTTGAGCTGTCATCTGTGTCTATTTATGTTTATGAAATAAAGCCAGTGTTATGAAAATAAGATAATAGTCTCGTACTTAAAAGATATGGGGATATTCGTAGTATGTGAATAATAATAATAATAATAATAATAATAATAATAATAATAATAATAAAGGCTATAATTGTAAAATTTGGAGATTCAAAAAAATAATAAAGGCCACAATTCGTTAGGCTATTTCGTCGGCTTTTCTCTTCACAACAGATTATCAACCTGACAGCGGCTGTGATATTATTTTCCCAAGCTCAACTCTAAAACAGCTTTAGACCAAGCCACCAAGCCATTAAGGTAATGATAAAAACTTTCTCCGTCAATATAAATCGTTGTGATTATTTATCTCAATATATAAAACGTGTTAAGTATTTTAAAGAGTAATAAATACTCTTTTCGTCCCATTTTATTTGCTCGTTTTGATAAAATATGCATATTAAAAATTTAAACAAGAGATATTATTTTGCTCTCTTTTACCCTTAATTCATTAAGATATTAATAAAAATCATTCATTTAATGAGTATTATGAAAAAATAATTATTTAAATATAAAAATTTAAAAACTTTGCAACCGTCATATATAAATCGTAATGTGAATTTATTTTTATACTCAATATTATAAAATACTGTTATAGTAATTTTAAAGATAAAAATACTCTTTCGTCCCATTTTATTTGCTCGTGAAAATAGCATATTAAAAAATTTAAACAAGAGATTTTATTTGCTCTCTTATCCCTAATGCCCTTAATTCATTAAGATATTAATAAAAATCATTCATTTAATGAGTATTATGAAAAAATAATTATTTAAATATAAAAATTTAAAAACTTTGCAAATATATTGGGACATTCCAAAAACGGAGAGAGTAATTTTTTTCAATTTTATATTATTTATATTAAATATAATAATTGCACACCTAGTAGTAAGTGCATATATAACCCGCTATAGATCTGGGTTCCTGCTATAGATCCGGGTTCGAATCCCCCTCCCCAATACTCAAAAAAAAAAAAATTTATAACTAGCAGCTAGTACTTCTCAAAAAAAAAAAAAAAGTATTAAATACAATAATTATCTTTCATAAATTAATCCTTAGTTTCGAAAAAAAAAAAAAAATATTAAATACAATAATTATCTTCATAAATTATCCTTAGTTTCGAGATAAATTACCTTTCATTTTATTATAACTTGTTTTCTCCGACGCATAAATATAATTTAATTTATATAAATAATTTTCTTTAATCTTTTCATTATAAATTATAACATTATAATAATTTATATTAATAAAAGTCTAAGAGCCTTTACAACATAAAAAATAATATTTTATAAAATAGTAAAATAAAAAAATTCAATAACTAAATAACTTGTTAAGAAAAAAATATATTTATAATAAAAAATTTTAATAAGTAAATAACTTGTTAAGGAAAAACATATTTATAATAGTATGATAACCAAATTTTTATAAAATAAAATTATTTTATCGACCTATCTAAATTTTCTTTTAGCGTTTTTAATTTAATTAAATTAATTTTTTCACATATAATATAATATTATAAATTATTTATATTAATATAAGAAACCGATTTTAGTTATTATAATAAATGAATATATTAAACATTGTCTTAGCACATCGTTTCTAATTTTGCAAATTTTCTTTTTTCTTTTTGACTTTTTCCTAAAGTATATGAGCATATAATTAACTTACAGTTGTTTTTTTTAGGAAAAAAAAAATTCAATGTGCTATATAGTTTATTAATATAATATGTTATATCATTAAATTTATCATGTATATATTTTTCTAGTGAGTTTTATTTTTATTTTACATCAAACAATAAATTTTAAAATAAATAATAATAAATTTGATTTATTCTTGATAGAATAAATGGCTTGTAGAAAATAATTATAACCAATCAAATTAAATATTTATTAAAAATCACGATTAAACATTTTATTATATTAAATATTTTTATATTTATATATAGTATAGATTTTAAATTTAAGAGAAATAATTATTTATTAACTTCTATCCAAAAAGCACGAGACATAGAGAGTAAAAGCAATGGTAAACAACAATCTAAAAAGGTTGAATAGCAGAATTCACGTGTACTAATATGCACCAACCACTTAAAGCCATTCCGTCACTTCCCCATTGGACAACTTCGCGAAAATGGACAAAATAATAATCACGATACACATAAAAACAATACAACAAAACACAGAAAGAAAGAAAGAGAACTCTAGTTGTCAATCTCACCATTAATTATCAACCTCTATTTTGTTTTGTAGTAGATAATTTATCTTATAATATTTGAAATAAATTTTTAATATTTCATGTGCAATGAAATTTTTTTTTAAAAAAAAAATATATAAGACTCAACATATTTGGGTTCACAAAATTTTATTTTTTTAAGTAAATATTTGTTGTTATTATATGTTGATTTGCAAGTGTATTTTTACTGTCGGACTAGCGATATTCTTCAAATAAAATCATTGCAACAGTCACCATTTCAGATTTTGAAACTCTCATATTATATATAATATTTTTCTTAATATTTTAGATTTTAAAACTCTTATGTCATATATAATATTCTCTTAATAATTCAGTCTATTTCTGCTAATCATGCTCCCTATTAATTAATAAATTATTGTTATCACTAAAATGTTCATAGATACTCTATAGGCAAAAAATAATAAAATATATCAATTTCTTTTATGTTATAACTTAAATAAGTTATTTAATACAAATATGTTTATTTTTTATATATAATATGAGTATCTCTATCTTTTCATAATAATTTTGTCTCAATAAAGATTAAAATTTGAAACCTTCTAATGAAAATTTTAAATTTTAAGATATTTATAATTTTTATAATACAGATATAAGGATGTGGATATTTGATTAAAATGCATTACACATTATATTATATGTAGTTGAACTTGTTCCGAAACAATTTAAAATTTTCTTTTATTATTTGATCCGTTTTAAACTCGATTATATATATCAATATCGATAGCTTAATAAAAATATCAAATATAATTATAGTATTAATTATAATTAAATTTATAGTAATTAATTTATAATTTAAAAAATATATATATAATTTTTAAAGAGAATAATTATTTTAGAATATTTTTAAAATATTTAAGAGAAATAATTATTTTAAATATTTTTAAAATATTAATTAAACGAGTAACGATATTCGAATTCTTGAAGTCAAATCCTATATGAATAAAAATAATATTTTAACTTGAAATTTGTCTTAAATAGCTATTTTTGACTTTCTCATAAGATTTCAATAAAAAAAAGAAAGAAAATAAAATAGGAAAGGAGGAAAAAGAAAATGGAAACTACCGTATCAACAATTAAAAAGTACACGCAAATTGAACAAAAAAAAAATGATATAAAAATGAATAAAATCAAAAAATACTTTTACACTAATTATATAATTATCACTAATCTAAAAATATTTATATGCTAATTATATAATTATGACTTTTCACAACAAAATAGTTTCCATGAAACAAACAAGAGTGTCATATTACTTATTTTATTTTCTTAACTTATTTGGTTAATATTTTATTTTATTTAATTTTTTAGACCAGCAGATCTCAGTTTATTCCTTCTGATAATCACATTCCTCATCTTCCCTTTTACCTCTCTATCTCTCAAGCATCTGCTCTGTATTGGATCACAAACAAAAGGTACTTCCCCTGTTTTAGATCCCAAAATTCTCAATTTCTTCTTCAGTTAATCATTCAATCGCTCAAACTGAATCAAACTTTCTTTTACTCAATTTCTCCTTCTTCTGACCTCAATTTCATTTGAATTTCGAATGCCAAACAGTGTTTTGAATCGGTTCTTGGTTTTCAATTTTGGTTTTCTGGGCTGATTTCAGTTTGTGAGTAGAAATGTCGACATGATCATTGATCAGTTAGAGCTTTTTCTGTTTACTAATTTTTTTTCCTTTTCTTTTTAATAAAAGAACTGTTCGTAAAGCCAGAAAATGGGTGTGGATAAAAAATATGACGATACTGAGGAGGGAACTCTAGAGATCGGAATGGGTATGTTTATAAATTTATAAATTTGATCCAATTTATTTTAATTTTCGAATCTGATTTGGATTTGTCTATTGAATTTTGCGCTAACTTTAGTTTTTTCCACTCTCTTTTCTTCACATTGCAGAGTACAGAACCGTCTCCGGAGTTGCTGGACCTCTTGTTATACTTGATAAGGTTAAGGTAACTAGATACTGTAACTGCTCTTTTCTTTTAAGTAAATAAAAGAATTTTATGTAATTATTATTATGATTTGTTTCATAAGATTATGGCTGCAATTTCTAGCAATCAGTGGTGCATTTTGTGATTCACTGTTTTAGGGACCAAAATATCAAGAGATTGTTAATATTCGATTAGGGGATGGAACTACCCGGCGTGGTCAAGTTCTTGAAGTTGATGGGGAGAAAGCTGTCGTTCAGGTGATTGCTTGTTTGCATTCTCTATCTATTGATTACAAGTCAGAAATGAATTGAGTTCTTGTATTATTTTCAAATCATTGGTGATAGGGGCAGTAGCACTTTAGTTGTGATCCTACATGCTTATTCTATGATGGATATGTGCTTGCAATTTCTTTTCCTTAATTTTGCAGTGGATCTTTTCCTTATTTTGCAGTGATATATATATATAGTATATAATATATATATATTATAATATTATATATATATATATATATATATATATATATATATATGGTAATATTTTGTGAACAAATTTTGTAGTGGAATGTAAATTAAGTGCCATATGTTCAGTAGCACTATACATTTGTAAATCTATTACACTTATGGCCCAGGTTTTTGAAAGGAACGTCTGGAATTGACACAAATACACAACTGTTCCAATTTACTGGAGAGGTTATTGGTTTTTTTTTTTTTTTTTTTTGGCCTTTTTTTTTTTTTTTTTTGGCCTTGCAATGTCAAAAACAATTGTGAATACTTGCAAAGTTTATGTTATTGGGCTAATCATCTTAAAAACTTCTAACTGAGATGTGGGAAGTTCTTAGAAGCTGCTTATGTTTCTTGTAAGCAACTTATATAAACTATTTGTGTTCTCCATAGAACTAAATGCCTAAGTAAGTCTAAATATTTCTTGTAAATTGAATAATCACCTTGTCTTTAACTAATTGAGAAGTCTCTGGTATGCAGGAACCTTGTAAATTGCTGCTAAAATAATTAATTGTACTATTAAGTTAAAGAAACTTGGCTGAAGTGATTATCCTAAATGCACTAATTTCCTAATTTACAATAGTTTTTGACATAATTTCAAGGATAAAGTTGTTATTCCTAATTTACAATAGTTTTGGACATAATTTCAAGGATAAAGTTGCTATTTCCATTATCACTATTATTTTCTGTTGGGAGTTATTCATTGCAATATTTTAGGTTAAATGTTTGTTGAATTAAGTGTGGTATGTTTCATAGCAAAATTCTTGCTTGCAGAAATATCTTTTGCTAGCTGGTTCTAGATTGCAACACTAAAATCAAATGGCACTTATTTTCTACAGTATAGATTACACTGGCAAATAACAAACAATAGGATCATGACCCATGGCAACATTAGGACCAAAGAGTACTGTCTGTTTCTATGGTTGATTTTTTTAACCTACTTAATTAGACATGTAAAGGAATAGAGAAAATGTTACATGCTGGAGCTGGTGGCAACTGGCACTAGTTAGCAAAGTAAATATCTGTCTATGTGGTTCCTTTGTTTGGGAGATAAAAAGATGTGTGTGGAAAAGATGAAGAAATTTCTTTATTTTGTTTGGATTGTGGGGAGAAGGAGATCAGAAGGAGGCAAGTTATAATTATAAAAGGACAAAACGTATCCTTTTGATTGTCACTTTTTATATCTGATATATTTTGATTATATGGAATACCATTTCAAATTTAATTGGCTTATACTGCAAATTTCTTTTCATGAGTTTTCCATGCAACATATTTCCTTAATTAATATGTATACATAACTAGTGCAATATCTATTATAATCTCAGATTATTGTTCTTATTTTCCAAAATCTTGAGCAACTAAGAGATGAAAATTTTGGCAAAGCATGGCTTAATAATTCTAATGGCCCTCAAGTTAGATGTTGTGGCATGATAGAATTTTCCATGCACTTGTCATTATGTGGAATGTTTCCAACTGTGTATGCTGTATTGGTATTGATTCAGAGTCCCAACAAACCTTGATCTATATCCAATGGTGGGCTAGCCCTTATCTTTTCCTTGCCTCACCCATAGTTCTATAAATTCATCAATATTTGTTGGCTGGGGGGGGGGGGGGGGGGCTGGGGGGGGGGGGGGGGTGTGGGGGGGGGGGGGGGGGGTGTGGATGGGTGGTTCAAATAACATTCTTCTTTTTCACACTCTTGAAAGACGGTTGACCAATTAGGCTATGGCTCATTGGCATTATACTATTGTTGTTTACCATTGTGATTTTATCATCTTGATGAGATCTAGTATAATATTGTAAAAATATGAGAAGAAGAAGATGACTCCTCTAATAACTAATCAAAAAATGATATTTTTAGAACTAGCTCAATTCAATTTCTAAAAAAAATAATGAAAAAAATGTGATAATGGTAAATTGTTGTTTCAGCCAAATAATCGAGGTATGAAGGGAATTTTCATTCTGCTTCCTTTCTTTTTCCTCTTTTGTAGGTTTTGAAGACTCCTGTCTCATTGGATATGCTTGGGCGCATTTTTAATGGTTCTGGGAAGCCTATTGATAATGGTCCTCCAATTTTGCCTGAGGCTTACTTGGATATTTCTGGTAAATTATATGATAGAGCAGCGATCTTTAACTAATTTGTGCTGCATGCTTTGCCTGTTATATATAGCATGTTCTAAAGTGTATCATATGTCAATTGCAGGGAGTTCTATTAACCCTAGTGAGAGAACCTATCCTGAAGAGATGATACAGACAGGGATTTCAACAATTGATGTCATGAATTCTATTGCTAGAGGACAGAAGATCCCTCTGTTTTCTGCTGCTGGTCTTCCCCATAATGAAATAGCTGCCCAAATATGTCGTCAGGCAGGTTTGGTAAAGCGATTGGAAAAGTCTAGCAATCTTCTTGAGGTACATCTAGTGCTCTTAAATGGCTACTTATGATTAAAATTGAATAATTTGAATGAGTATGATAATTAAAGGTAGAGGATAGAATTGTATGCTAGGCTTATTAATGTTTCATAATATGATGATAATTTGATTTACATAGCTTATGCCTATATAGCAAGGTAGAAGATAGCTAATTCTTTAATACAAAAATAATTAGAAATGAGGGTTACCTCATTATCATACTTTATTACCTCCTCATTTGTGTAAATGGACATCTTAAATTATTTTAGTAAGCTATGATCAGCCTGAACCTTTTGGACTTTTTGTTTTCTTGAATAACATTGTAAGTTTGGTAGTTTTAAGTTTTAGCATCATTACCTTTAAAACCATAGTTCCTTTTATCTCAAAAATGCTATTCTATTATTTCTGAGACCATAGTTTCATTTTATTCTCTCTTTCTAAAGCTAGGTCTTGAACTAGGTGATTAACCAACACTTCCACTTTCAGGATGAAGAGGAAGACAACTTTGCCATTGTGTTTGCAGCTATGGGTGTAAACATGGAGACTGCACAATTTTTCAAACGTGATTTTGAGGAAAATGGTTCAATGGAAAGAGTGACACTTTTCCTGAACTTGGTAAAGTTTTTACATTAGCATTTTAGCTTCATTTTGCTGTAATATAAACCCTAAAGAATTGGCTTGTTTTACATTGTTGTCTTATAACTTGTATAGATGTTTGTTGCTGAGCTCTGATTCTACTGCATGCAGGCAAATGACCCTACAATCGAACGTATTATCACGCCTCGAATTGCTCTTACCACTGCAGAATATTTGGCATATGAGTGTGGGAAGCATGTCCTTGTCATACTTACAGATATGAGTTCTTATGCTGATGCTCTTCGAGAGGTGTGTCAAATTATATAATGGATCTTTACTTTACATTCACAAAAAAGTAGGACCAAAAACTTTCATCTTCCATTATGACAAGAACATACTTGAGATATCATCATCTTGCTGTGTTTCTGGTTTCTTAAGATATCAAATGTACTTGCTAAATTTCATACTATTTTTATTAATTTTTTTGAAAGTCAAATCTATCCTTTCTTTTAAATTTAATTGAATAGTTTGTAAGATATCAAAGCATAGTCATAAGATTGTGTGACAAAATAGTGTTACTGTTATAGGTGTCTGCTGCTCGAGAGGAAGTACCTGGAAGGCGTGGATATCCTGGGTACATGTATACTGATTTGGCGACTATATATGAGCGGGCTGGACGTATTGAGGGGCGAAAAGGCTCCATCACACAGATTCCAATTTTAACTATGCCTAATGATGGTAGTGACTCGGATCACACACACTGAATCTCCTGCGCATATTTTTTATTTAAGTTGGAATAGACCGCTTTAACTTAATTTTCTCATATGGCCAGATATTACACATCCCACCCCAGATCTTACGGGATATATTACAGAGGGACAGATATATATTGACAGGCAGCTTCACAATAGACAGGTAATATTATGAGATACACGTTAAGCATTCTGGTTTGCTGATGAAAAATATTACTCGGAGATTAACAATAGCGTCAAGCTGATCCTTGGTGACTCTAAGGGTTTGTTCGGCAATTTTAACTGTTCTAGTAGCCATTAGCTGTTTTGCTAGTGGTTAGCTGTTAAATATTAGCTATTAGTGGTTAACTGATTTATAGCGGTTTAGAATAAAAGTATTTGGTACAAATAACTGTCTGATTAGATGTTTAATATAAAATGACAAAAAAAGGTATTAAAGTGAGGATAAAGGTAAAAACAAGTGATGAATATAAGTGCCATAAAGAAATTATAAAACGCTAAACGTTAATGAAGATAATGTTTCACGAAGCACCGTCTCAAACTCTAAACACTAAGGTAGATATTGTATTACCGAACACTATAATTAATTAAGACAGTGTTTCAACCCTATTAAAACACTAAACACTTCTTGAAACGCTGCTGCCGAACAGGGCCTAAGGGCATCATTTGTGCATGCTGACCTATCATGTGAAAATTTAGAATCTTATATTTTCTATATTATGTGGTTAGCCTTAGTTAATTTTCTACAGTGAATTTGGCCTTTCTGAAAGTCATACTGGAAGATTGGAATCTCAATTAAGTTTAATTTCAATATAGATTTCTCTGTCATCCGAGGTTGATTATTTGATGCTGATCTATTTAAATTGGACAGATATATCCTCCAATCAATGTCCTCCCATCTCTCTCTCGTCTGATGAAGGTGAGAATTTATCTTTTATTTTGAGTTGTTTATACATTTAACTGAGGAAGAGTAACTTATTGAAATACAGTAGTACTAGGTTAAAGGTATATGCTAAAGAGTATTATTGATTTCCATTGCAGAGTGCCATTGGTGAGGGGATGACTAGGAGGGACCATGCTGATGTGTCTAACCAGGTCTGACTGGGCTATCATTTTCTTATGCTTTCAGTTTGATGTCTCATTTTATGTTATCAAACCTTTAAATTTGTGACTTTTTTGACTATCAGCTTTATGCAAATTATGCAATTGGGAAGGACGTCCAGGCAATGAAAGCTGTGGTTGGAGAAGAAGCTCTTTCCTCGGAAGACCTGGTCCCATACTTCCCTTCCTACATTACAAAGAACTTTATTGTTATTATTGAACCATTTGTTTCAAAAAAAAAAAAAAAAAAAAAAGACGGTCCAGAATGAAAGCTTGTGGTTGGAGAAGAAGCTCTTTCCTCGGAAAGACCTGGTCCCATACTTCCCTTTCCTAATCGTACAAGAAAGAAACTTGATGATTGTTATTATATTGGAGACCATTTGTGTTCCGAACAAAACAAAAAAAAAAAAAAGAAGGAAACTGACACGATTTTTCTTGAGATGTAACAGCAATATATTTGGAGTTCTTGACAACAGTTTTGAAGCGAAAGCTTTGTGACTCAAGGCGCTGTGACATACTCGCAAACATTGCCACATCACTCGTATTTAACGCTTGGACTGCGCGTCCGCATCTTTTCCTCGTGAGCTTATCCTTCACCGAAACTACCCTGCTAAGGACACTTGGACCAGTACTTACAGCCCGTGATCCTCCATCTAATTGAGAATGAAAGCTTTGCAGGGCCTTTAAATTATTTCCAAGATGAGCTGCACAAATTTGTTTATTTGTCCTGTTTCGACTTGGGATTGCTCTCAGCATCTGGAGAACTACAGGATATATAGGTTGGTACTAGTATTTGAGTATCACTACGATTTAAGAAAATTTTCCCATGAGTGTTGATGGTCTTGGTCATATTATTTGATTAGGTTTGAAGTTGGTTTTACCTCATGTGCAATCAGTGTGTTTTTGGTAATTTTAAGGTCTTCAAGTTTTCTGTTTGATGCCTTTCTTTGGCATTGCGCTAGCTTCATGTTCTTGTAACCAACGACATTCTTGGATTCCTTTATTTTTTTAGGAAATGGAGGTTCTCAGATTGTGCTTTTCTAGTAGGAGATAAAGGCTTCTTTTCTAATAGAGATATAAAGCTGAGCAAGCAAAAAAGAAAAGGGAGTGGAACATCGGTTAGTTGTCGGTATTTCTGTTGCAATCCTTTATTTTGCCTTTATCCTTGTGTGCGTCTTTGCGCTTGTCCCTAAGGGGGCTACCAGGTCAGGCTGGGGATCTTCTTAAGTTGTATGCAAGGAAAACTTGTAATTAATGCAGTTAAAACCATGTCGGCATAATCAGCGTGAGAGAGAAAATCTAATCTAGTGATGACCATGCAATATCGGAAAGATAATAATATTTCATCAATTTTCCACATAATTATTTTTCGTTTTTAGGAATAGTTTTATAGCTGTTTGGATGCCGTCTGCTGTGATGCATGTATATGAAGGGTATTTATAAAAAAAAAAAAAAAAAAAAAAAGAAGGAAAACTGACACGATTTTTCTTGAATGAACAGCTATATTTGGAGTTCTTGGACAAATTTGAGCGAAAATTTGTGACTCAAGGCGCTTATGACACTCGCAACATCTTCCAATCACTCGATTTAGCTTGGACTCTGCTCCGCATCTTTCCTCGTGAGCTACTCCACCGAATACCTGCTAAGACACTTGACCAGTACTACAGCCGTGATTCATCTAATTGAGAATGAGCTTGCAGAGCTCTTTTAAATTATTTCAGATGAGCTGCAATTTGTTTAGTTGTCTGTTCACTTGGGATTGCATCTCACTATCTGGCAGAATAAGGATAATAGTTGGTCTATATTTGGATCACAAATTTTAAAATTTTCCATTGAGTGTTATGGTCTTGTAATTTATTTATTAGTTGAGTTGGTTTTACTCATAGTTGCAATCAGTGCTGTTTTGAATTTTAAGGTCTTCAATTTTCTGTTTGATGCTTTTCTTGCATTGCCTCATTTTCTTGTAAACCAACCATCTTGGATTCTTTCATTTTTTTAGGAAATGGAGTTCTCTTGTCTTTTCCTAGTAGAGATAAAGGCTTCTTTACTAATAGAGATAAAGCTGACAAAAAAAAAAAAGGAGTGGAAATCGGTAGTTTCGTACTTCTGTTGCATCTTTTTTGCCTTTTCTGTTGCGTCTTTGCTTGTCCTAGGCTACAGGAGAGGCTGGGATTTCTTAAGTTGTATGCAAGAAAACTGTATCCATAGCTAAAACCAATTCCATTAATAGCTGGAAGAAAATTTTAATCTATGATGCATGCAATAGAAATTAAAATATTTCATCAATTTCCAATAATTATTTTTGTTTTTTAGGAATAGTTTTATACTGTTTGATGCGTGCTTGATGCATGTAAAAAAGGGTATTAAATATATATACATATATATACATAATACACATCTAAAAAGCACAAATGATGCTAAACTATTACTAAGCAATAATATTTTTGTACTCTGTTTTTTATTTTTTTATAATTAATACCCATAGCCTACCAATAGAGCTCAACTCTAGAACATAAAAAGCATGAGAAACAACTTCCACCTTGTCACAGTACACGCATTTATGATCTAAACAAACCCCTCGACTAATTTAACTATTTGGAAGGCAAATTATCTCTGTTTAGCCTCCTTAAAAAGAATTTTCACCTTAGGCGAGATATATAATTTCCATAGATGCATCCAGAAAACATTAGAAATGGACCTAATAGGAATATTTTTCAATTGAAACGCTACAAAATTAGTAGATTTGACGCTATAATGCCATTCTTTGACAAATGCCATACAAATATGTCATCCCTATTTCATAAGCTCAATGTTATTTTAAGAATCATTGCAGCCTCAGTAGAGATTATGAGACCTTTAATAAGATAACTATTCTACCTTTGTGTCTCATGATTAATCAAATTAACAATCTTTGAAGCTATGAGGCATGGCGAAGTATATAAAAAAAAGACTGATAATTAATTAACCATGGCTGAGATAAGATGTTAATTTGGCTTAGTATATAAAAAAAAGTATGCTAACGAAGCTCATTTTTTCAATACTTCTTGAGTTTGACTCATCCAAGTAAAGCTTAGATTACACCCTAAAACAACATTATAGAAATTTTCACTCAAGAAATATTTAACTTCAAAAATTTGATAAAGAAGAGTACCTTGGTTGGTAAGAAGCTGCCAACCTTACTTGTCTAGAAGTGCCAAATTGAAGCTGTAAAGGTGTCTAAACCTATACCCCCTTCTTTTTTATTAGAACACATCCTCTCCCACGAAAACCAATGAATGCTTCTCCTCTCACCGGCTTTCACACCCCACTAAAGAGAATTTAGCATTTGCTTTAGCTTGGCACAAGTAGATGTCAAAGTATAGAAAAACATTTATATAGTAAATAAGGATCAATTTAGCTATGGACTTAATCAAAACTTCTTTTCTTGCTTTAGCCAAAAAATGCATTACCAAAGCCTATCTCTTAGAAAACCAAATCACTCCTTTTGTCTCTACCAATAAGAGATGAGAGACCAAGATATTTAGCATGATTAAGATTTAAGAGTGGAATAGATTTTACTAAGTCTTCATAAACACTAATACTAAAGAAAATACCTCATTTCAAAAGTTAATATATTGACCCGATGCTTGCTCATAAGTCTTCAAAATCTTGTTAACGCATTCACCCTCTCTTTTAGTAGCCCAGAAGAAGAAATAGTTGGCATCTGCAAATAAAAAATGAAAGATTCACATGAGTGCGGTTATTAATCTTACATCCATGAAGATTAGCAACTGCTTCTACATGATGGGATAAAGCCGACAAACCCTCGGCAAAAATAAAAAAAGGTAAGGAGATAACATGTCTCCTTGCCTTGAAACTCTAAAGGGAATCACATGATTGAACTCCTCGTCATTGAAACGAAACATACATCTAATATAAGAGATGCATAACATAATCAGATTAACTCATCAACCATCAAAATCCATCCTCAACGCAGTAAATTTTAGAAAGCCTTGGTCAACTCTATCGTACTATATTAAATTCAGTTTCAGAGTTGTTAAACTCATTTTCGAGTACATTATAAAACAAACCTCTTTATAAAATGAATAATTTCAAAAACAACTCAGACATTATCTGTTATTAGCCTACTAGGAACAAAAACATATCAAGAAACAAAAATGACCTTATCAAGCACATTTTAGAGCCTATTAGCAAGAACTTCAGCCATTGTTTTATAAACGACATTACATAAACAGACGGGTGAAAATCTTTAACAAGTTGTGGCTTATCAATTTTGGAAATAAGAACAATAATTATAACATTTAAGGAAGGAAGGGGAGCGGACTTCAGAAGATACCATTTTCTACAACTTTTAATAATATCACTACTCATAATATTCCAAAATTTTTAAAAAGAAATAAGGATTCATAGCATATTGATTATCAACCAAATCGTGCATTTATTTCAATTTTAGTCTATTAGCAAGAGAATACTTTGTTTGGATGCATTTGAAAGAGAATACTTTTAAATTTCTCATCAAAAAAAGGCGCAAGGAGGATGGGAGGAGCGCAAGCTTGTGAATTTGTAAATTATAAATACAGAAAAAAAAAAGGTGTGAGTGTCAAAGAAAATCTTTAAATACTTAACGCTAGAGTTTTTAAAAATTGATAAAAAGTTTCCTCAAAATCTAAAAGTTATTATAAATATTAGGATGTTTAAGTTTAATAAAAAGTTTTTTCAACCTCTGAATGCTTTGTTATCCAACCGACAAATATAGAGTTTTGACCTGATTGTTATCCGAAAAGATGTTATGAAATAGAATATGTATAACTATTTGAAAACTGTTGTGGTACGGAATGAGTAAGATAAGATTTAATGTTAATGTAAAAATATATTAGGAAAAAATTAAGTAAATTTATTATTGAAATAATATTAATTATTTTTTTTTATCCGTGTCAAAATAAAAAGAAGACTACCTTTATAGGAGGGGAACTATGGGACATGAACAGTTATAAACCTTGTAAATACATGTAAAGGAAAAAAATAAAAATTTATATAGCAAACAACGAACAAACGAGAAACAAAAACCCCTAACCCAAAATTCCTTCACTCCCTCTTATTGCAGTGGTACAATTCTACTGTAAAATATACGTACATATAAGAGGACATGACTTGCTTTCCAGCATTATAATAACACTGGAAAAAGGGAAAGGAATAACAGGGACTCCTCTGCATCTCCTTCGCCTATCTGCCGCTACACGGCCACCAAAAATCTGTTTTGTCCGAAATTAGAAGAGCTAAGATATTTACATAAAATGGCGGCGAGTGCCTCGTGGCAGCCACAAGAAGAAGGGTTAAAGGAGATCTGTGGGCTGTTGGAGCACCAGATTTCTCCCTTTTCATCTGCTGACAAGTCCCAGATTTTGCAGCAACTCCAACACTACTCTCAATTCCCCGATTTCAACAATTACCTCGTTTTTATTCTTGCTCGCGCTGAGGTATCCTGTGTTTTGATTGTTTGGTTCTCTAGAAACGCTCGATTTGGGAACTTCCGCTTGTTTTTTGGTTTGTGGGTTTTGATCGGATTGCTGGGGAAATAGGGTTTTGCTTTGTGAATTCTATTATTGGAAAGTTTGGTTTTGAAGTTTGTTCTCTGTTAAGTAGGGTTTTATGAAGTTGCTGGGCTTATAGGTGATTGACTTAAAAATATGTTATTTACTGTATTTTCTCAACCTAATGGGTTCAAATAGATTGGTAATACATTAAAATCTCCGTTTTCAATCATATAAACGTCTCATTGTAAATTAAAAAGGAAAATCATTTGCAGTTGCTGGATACTTTTTGTAAATAGAAGTGGGTTTACGAGTTAAAATTTGATATGGATACAATTGTTTCATCAACTTTGAAGTTTACTGCTTTCTTTGTTTATTCCGTGTTTGGTTGAGTACATGGAAATGGTCGCCCTTGAATTTGTGAAGCATAGACTTGTCATGGCATGACGCCCCAGCAAGTGTTGAAGAAATTATGACATAACACTCTTATTGGTATATATGGACAGATTCATATATAAGAAACTTAGTATACATGATTATCTGGATTGATCTTGTTCAAAATTTAAAAGTCACTGAGTTAACCATCTATTGATATAACTCTTTAATTAACGACTATAAGTTATATATTCATTCAATAGTTTTTGAAAAATGAACTGTTATACACGTCTGAAACAGACAGTTGCAAAATGGGCGTGTTTTATATGCTTCCTAGGTTTGGATATTCCATGAACATGTTTGGATACAGTATGATGCCGACTTCTAATTGTGGTTGGTTTATTCTGTTTGGAACTTCTGACAGGGTAAATCTGTGGAAATTCGACAAGCTGCTGGCCTGCTGCTGAAAAACAACCTCAGAAATGCATATAAATCAATTACTCCTGTACACCAACAATATATAAAGTCTGAGTTGTTGCCTTGTTTAGGGGCTGCAGACAGGCATATAAGGTCCACTGTTGGGACCATTATAAGTGTTGTTGTTCAAATAGGCGGAATTTCTGGGTGGCCTGAGCTGTTGCAGGCTCTTGTCACTTGCTTAGACAGTAATGATGTAAATCACATGGAAGGCGCTATGGATGCTTTGTCAAAGGTATATATTACATAAAAAAAATAGTAGATTACTAGTGTTAGTTTTCCAGTATGTCATATATGGGCCACTTTTGGTGAGGAGGGAAAAGATGAGATTGATATTGTCTGCATGGTAGAAATAAATCAAAGAATGATTTCTTGAATTGCTCCCTACCACTAATTTTTATAACTATGCTGTTGCTTCTTCTTATCTTCATCAGTATCTTTTTTGTTATCCTAACAATGTCGCGTAGTTGGGTATATATAATTCTAAAGTCGTATATTTAGGAGGAGAGGGGGGAGGGTTTGTTTTGTTGGCCTCATGACATTGATGTTACTGTTGTCCCGTGTGTCATTTGGGGAATAACAAAGGATATTCGGTTGTTCTTACTGGCTTAATGATTTATGTTATACTGACTTGCCTATAAATGCTCTAATTGTCTCAGTTCTGTTCCAGGTTCATCAAGGAGACTCTGATGAACTAACTTTCATAGATGCCCTTTATATCTTCTCTAAAATTTATGTTCTCGTTTCTACTGACCATGGTTACAGTATCTGGTTTGTTGGTTGATTTTCCTGTATGGAATTTGCAGCTACGTAGCAAATTAGAATCTACATTGTATTCCTATTGTTGTAATAGATAAAATATAAAAAATGATGCTTTATGATGCAGATCTGTGAGGATGTCCCTCAAGTTTTGGATTCTGAAGTGCCTGGGTTACCTGATCGCCCCATCAAGATATTTCTTCCTCGATTTTATCATGTAAGATGATTATTTTCTTACAGTAGAGTTCATAATGGAGGTTCTTCTTTGTTCTTAATTTCATATTGTCTGTCAAACCAATCCTGTGAATCCTCTCACTCTCTTTGTAACAAAAATTTTTTAACACTCCCTCTAGGAGTAATTTAACTTGGTTAGAAAATTTTCTCTCCCTGTTATTTAATATAATGTTGTTTTCCTGGGACGAGCACTTTGACATGGTTTTGCTATGAGCAGTTTTTCCAGTCACCACACAGTTCACTGAGAAAGCTTGCGTTGGCTTCTGTAAATGAATACATTATGCTAATGCCTGCTGTAAGTATACTTGATACATCCATGCATCTATTGTCCAAATTGCAACCTATATTATCCATGATTTGGATGCAAAGAGTGATATTATATGTAATATTTTGCAGGCTTTATATGCATCAATGAATCAATATCTTCAAGGTTTATTTGCTCTTGCTCATGATCCTGCTGCAGACGTGCGGAAATTGGTATAAACATTCTCCTTGTCTCATCGTGATCATATATAATTAACAATCCGCCCATTAAACATTGTTTTTAGTCATCTGGTTTTGGCATTAATTTGTTAGTAATCTCACCATAAAACTTGGGTAATTAATGGTTTCTTTTCTTTGTGATTATGATTTTTAGTCAGGTTGGATTATCCTTCTCTCTCTCTCTCTCTCTCTCTCACACCAACAAAAGTTCAAATCGGGTCTTTAGTTAGTCTTTTTACTCCTGCATGTTTTACAGAGACATAACTTGTTCACTGGGGATAGCTTATGTTTCCATGGGTTATTGTAATTTCTAGCTTGCTGAATAATATAGATGTTAACAAGCATAATTGGCATGCCATGCTGTGGGATGAGTTTTATAAGAAATGAAAAAAATTAAAATAGAAAAATTATAATTAATACATATATAAGAATATAATTTAAAAAAAATATAAAAATTTCGTGTCGAATTAAATTAATTGTCTTTTACCTTCTCTAACTTTCTATGAAAATTCATTCAATAGTATGTCATGTAGATTTTGAATATAATTCTCTTAATTTTATTATTTGTTATATATTTCTATTCAAGTGAAAGTAAAATATAATTCTCAAAAATATTAGTAAATAATTACAATAGAGCTGAAATTAAAAAGGAAAAAACAGTCCACTTTATTTTAAGATAAAAAAAACAAATCAAAATGAAAACCTAAATAATAGATGAAATCATTAGCTCATGTAATATAACATAATTTTTATTAAAAAAAAAAAGAAAATTTATGGAATAATGGGCTGGAATAACCCTGATCCTTAAGCCCAAGACTCACCGCCATTACACCTATGGGAGTGGGACTTTTTGTCGGACGATGAAACAATCTTTAGTAAATAAAGGCAGTAGTTTTTGTTCATAAAGAGAGGGTAAAAATGGAATAGAATAAAAAGATAACGGTTTAAATGGCAATTCACTGTTCATGTGAACATTGAGATTCTGGTTCCATTTTAGTGTGTGTGTGTGTGTGTGTGTGTGTGTGTGTGTGTGTGTGTGTATTCTATCTAGCTCAGTAGTTTCAGAATATATCAAGATGTTATTATGGATAGTTGACTTTTATGGTTTTGCTGTTAATAGAATTATTTTGGCTTTGATTTAATTCTTGCTTTTGTTGTAGAGGATATCTTTATCCATTGTGGCTATTTTTTGTTCCAACTTCTGCTATGTTTTTTTTGGCTTTGAATTAATTTTCTTATGTTCCTCAACATGCTGGAGCTTCTTTTCGAGCTTTGATATGTTTATTACTTGCAGAAATACTTTTATCTTTCACAAGCTTGGCTGACTGATTTGTTTCATTTACCTTTTTGTTGAGCAGGTTTGTGCAGCTTTTGCTCAGTTAGTTGAAGTCCGTCCATCTTTCTTAGAGGTATATATCTTGTTAGATTCTAGTCTCATGCATGTTCTTTCTGAGTGTGCTCTAAACTTTCTTAAGTTTTCACTTTTTTACATGTGTTAATCTGAGTTGTCTTCATTTTCACTTTTTTCAATTTTATTTATAACCTCTGCTTACTGTACGTCACATCCTGTTTGGCCCTGCAGTTGCTTTAAATGAAAACAGCTTAAGTAATTGCGAGGGCTGAATGGGCCCAATTTTAACCTGCCATACCCTTTCTCTTTTTCGTTATTTTATTGATGTGATTGTTGCACCAATTTCAGCCACATTTGAGAGAGGTTATCGAATATATTTTGAAAGTCAACAAGGATGGTGATGAAGAAGTTGCTCTTGAAGCCTGTGAATTCTGGTAACTCTCCACTTTGTAAACTAAATAAATTGAACTTTATGTAACTAGCTTTCCAATCTTGTCTCAAATATTTAGTTATAGAGACTATGGTATCAATATAATGCGGAAACCAAGTCAATCTTTTAATTCTGTAGTGTTTGTTGATGGTTACATACATTTTTCTTTGTCAATATGCAGCCAAGTAACCTTTTGTACTCCCTGCTGCTTTCCTCTTTGCTATAATTCCTCCCTGTCTGTATCCTACTGAAAAAATTATTTTAGATGGGAGCTGGCTATGAAACTCATTTGCTATTACTGGAGTACCTACATGCACCACCTGAAACACAACACTATCCTAATCTTCTTAGTTGTTTCATTTTAACCTTAAAGCATGGTATTGAATCCTTCCACTTTAACATCGTAAAGGCAAACGGAAGGAGCTAAATTAAGAACCTATGTATAAGTTGTCATCATCTCACTGTTTAAGTTGGTAATTGTAGGTAATCCAAGATAAAGTAAACATTTTTGTGCTTCGTATGTTTAAGATGTTTTGGACTCCCAATTTTTGGTTAGGGATATCTTTTGTGAATTTATATCTTGGAAGTATGTATGATTCTAATGTTTAAGAAATGAGCAAGAGTTTTAATGTCCTAAAATGTTTTGAATCTACTTTTGTCTAAAATGCAAAGGTCATGTTTAGGTTACTTGTGTAGCATTAATCAAGTAGTGTGAAAAAATTTTCTAACTTTGTCGTGTGTGTATATATATATATATATATATATAAATGAAAAAGAGGAGGCAGGATAATTCTAGCTAGGTTCTGGTTTTCTATTGATGTTTATCCATATTAATTGAGTTTGAGGTTGTCATAATTCTGGGTTTGTTCTTTTATTTATTAAGTTTCTTAAGTGATCATAATATGGTAACCTTACGCTCTTTTTTTGGGCTGTGTTTGCAGCTTTACTCCCTCTTCTACTTCTTTCTATTCATCATCCTTTCTAATAGTGATTATGATTGGCAGGTCTGCATACTGTGATGCTCAGTTACCACCTGAGAACTTGAGAGAATTCTTGCCCCGTCTAATCCCAGTACAGTTTTCTCTTTTTGACTTTCTTAATTTGGTTTTTCTATTGTTCATTCATCTTTGCAAAGTCATGCGAATTTTTTTATGTATATGTTCCTTTTTTTGTAGATTTTGTTGTCAAACATGGTTTATGCTGATGATGATGAGTCACTTGCTGAAGCTGAGGTTAAATTTCTTGGCCATTTTGTGTTTTTCGAATGATCTGAATATAATTTTGTGGTAATTCATAGTTTACCAGGATGATTTCATTTTTGCAGGAGGACGAGTCTCTTCCAGATCGTGATCAGGTTCAATATATATTTTCATCATTTGATTCTTTTGTGCTTGAGATTCTTATTATTTCTTTGCAAAATAAGTCTTGTGTATGGCACTGAATTTGTTATTATCCTTTTTGTTATAAATTTAATGCACTGCAGGATCTGAAACCTCGTTTTCATTCATCCCGACTTCATGGATCAGATAGTGTGGATGATGATGTAATTTTCCAGAAACTCCATGTGTTTATGTAATTAGCTTTCTTTGACAGTTTATAATTCAGTAGTTATGACTAAATATTGTTGTGCTGTTGAAGTAGGAAGGTGGTTTAATTTATTGAAATATATCTGAATTATTATTTTGGATAATTACAGGATGATGACATAGTTAACATATGGAATTTAAGGAAATGCAGTGCAGCTGCTCTTGATATGCTATCAAATGTGTTTGGGGATGAGATTCTTCCTACACTGATGCCTGTCGTTCAGGTAATAAATTATTTAGTATTCAATAAAGAAACCTATTTGACCTTTCACGCTTTCATGTTTAATGTTCTTTTTGCATTAGTGGGGATATCACATCCTTGGGGTCTTATTTCCTTGCTTGTTCTGCATCTTACATCTTTGTTTATTGTCTAGTAGTTTACAGTTGGTCCTTGTGGCTCATCTGAGTATCGAATTGTTTTTCATAAAGCATTTGTTGGTTGATGCAAGTTGAATGTCCTGCTAAAGCTTAAAGTCAACAATTAAATGTGATGTATATGCGTGTTTAAGAGGGTGTGTTGCCTCTTCTTGAGGTTAGATTGAGAATGGTGTCCTGATTTTTTTTCCATATTTATTTGAAGTTGGAGAATATTCCAGATTATGGTGGTTAGAATCTTTGGGATCAAATGATTTATTGATAGTGGCATCAGTATGAATCTGGTTATGAAACTATTTCCCTGCAAGTTATATGTTTCTCTTTTGAATGCCTAATTTTCAGTTATGAAATATCTGCAGGGCAAGTTGTCTGCTACTGGTGATGAAGCTTGGAAAGACAGGGAAGCAGCTGTTTTGGCTCTTGGTGCAGTAGCTGAGGGTTGCATTAATGGTCTTTATCCTCATCTGTCTCAGGTAAATTGTAGTTTTGGTTTTTCAATTTTATTGGTTGTGCTTAAAGCAAAATGATAGATAATCTAGGTCTATTGGATAACTGGCAATATAATTTTTTGCCTTCTTTAGAAATCTCCATTGGATAAATGCAAAAAGAAAGTTCTTAAGTTCTTTTCATTTTGAATGATGATTTCATTTAGTATCTATCTAATATCAAGGTTGAAATTTTTTTTTTTTTTTTTCCTTCTGTGGAGTACTACAGATGCTGGTGCCAAAGGCAGTATAACACTGCACTTTTGAAAATTTCCTGATTAAATATTGCAAATTTCACTTGAAAACAATTTCTAATTTTCATGACTAAATACTCAATGTGTTACTAATAGCTGCAACAACAATGCCAAATAGACGCTTAGTTGTAACCATTTATTTATTTATTTTTTTCTTTTTGGTAAAGTTTGCAGAGGTAGAGTGCTATCTGCTGTTCATGTTGAATGATCGTTTCATACTTTCATTTAACTATTAACTGTTTTATTTCAGATGAGGCTCCCCCTCTGTGGCCCCCTCTTCTGAGGAGGTATTTAAAAGGGCATATTTCTTGTCTCCATAAGTGGCAACATCTTTTTCTTTGATAAATTATTCCTTTTCATTAGTGAAAGTGAAACGGATTTTGGATGGAAAAAGGGAAACAAGAGCACTTTTAAGGCATTTAGCATCAAACATCAGATTTTGATTCTGGAAATTTCACTTATTTGTTGTTAATGGCTTTATTCTATTGCATTTTGGGGTTAATAGGCAGTATGAATTTAAGGTTTTAATTTGCTCTGTTTTCTGAATGTTCTTTAATTTCTTTTCCTGTACTCTTGGCATATACATTGAGCTTTGTTTAGGTTCTAATTTATAGAAGTTGAATTTTATCTATAAGGCCATTTATGATATTTTTTTTCTTTTCTTTTTTCTTTTTGCTGTTTTCAATTAGGATGCATTAATCCTTAAATTTCTATCTTCCTAATCCTTTTTCAAGAAGCCAATTTATTATTGGAGTATTTTCTTTTCTTTGGATGAGGTTGTTAGGTGGGTATGGTTTGACTTTACACCGCATTATGGTGCTTTTCTTCATACGTATGTTCAAAGACCTGCAATGCATGAAAAACTAATTTCACTTTTTTAGGCTTGAGAGATGAAATAATTGCTTACTTTTCTTACACTGATTTTGAGTATTGAATTAGGCTAATACAGTTCGAATATTTTTGTATGTCTGCAGATTGTGGAATTCCTTATCCCCCTATTAGATGATAAGTATCCTCTAATCCGGAGTATTTCATGCTGGACACTTTCTCGATTCAGCAAGTACATTGTTCAGGTACGGTTAAATGTTTGTTCCGTTAGCTGCTTCTTTTTATCATGCATTTTCTTCCAGTTTGATGCATTATAATTCTGTTTATCCCAATTCCTTGCTTAAGTTGATAGGCATTGATTGTAATTCATCCTCTAATACTGCATTGCCTCTTTTCTCTCTTTGGTTCAGGATTTTTGGTTGACATTTCTTGTTTGATTTATCTTAGGAAAGTTGCCATGAACAAGGTTATGAAAAATTTGACAAAGTTCTCATGGGTCTTTTACGAAGAATATTGGATACTAACAAGAGGGTCCAGGAGGCTGCTTGTTCAGCTTTTGCAACACTAGAAGAGGTCTTTCTGACAAGTGACCTTTAATTGTTTTAGATCTCATTGGTTTCAAATGTTTTAGGTCTCAGTGCTCCTATTATCTTTGCAGGAGGCTGCTGAAGAGTTGGCACCACGTTTAGATGTTATTCTCCAGCATCTCATGTGTGCTTTTGGGAAATATCAGGTTCATTCCAGGCCTTTCACAACTAATGAGCTTCCTCCAAAGTTAAATGATTATATGCCTTGTCTTCTGGTTCTTTTGTTAAGCCTATGAGTTATATTACTGTTTTTTTTTTCCTTATATTGATTGACTTCTCTGTATACTTTTGCATTTGGTCTCTTACTGATGCCAGTATTATTTGATCTAGAGACGGAATCTCAGAATTGTATATGATGCTATTGGAACTCTAGCAGATGCTGTTGGAGCAGAACTGAATCGGGTACCAAAATCATGCAATGCTCTCATCCTTTCTATTCCCTTCTCCTTTTCTCTTCTTGAGTGATATTCACAGTTAGGTATATAACTGCATTTACTACATCGACAATTTGCAGCCTTCTTATCTTGAAATTCTGATGCCACCGTTGATCGGAAAGTGGCAGCAGCTTTCAAATTCAGATAAAGATCTCTTTCCATTGCTTGAGTGTTTTACATCCATAGCACAGGTATGGAGTATTTTTCGTTTGTTCACGTGATGTCAAATGATGCAAAGTAGTTATATACTTCTAGTATACTGTGGAAAACATGGACGTCACACTGCTTAAAGAATAGTGAGTTGTGTTGTGGCAGTTAATTATCTTCCCAGCTGTAATCTTACATCATGATGGGAGGATCAATTTGATAATTATCTCCATTACCCCTTGGCGCCGCACCACGTGGGATGTCAAATGATGGCAAGAAAGTAGGTTATTATACTTCTAGTATCATTACTTTGGAAAAAACAATGGACGTTCAACATGGCTTACAAACAGGAAATAGGTGGCAGTGTAGGTGTGGCAGTTAATTATCTTCCCGGCATGTTAATCTGTACATTCATGAGGGAGGATCAATTGAATAGATATTCTCCCTATTACCCCTTATGGCGCCGCACCCCCGCCCCCCCCGCCCCCCCCCCCCCCCCCCCCCCCCCCGGTCGGCTCTTTTTCCCTCTTCTTATTCCAGCATAGGTATTTTGGGAAGTGAAAGGTCTGCTTAGTGATCACAAAATTGGGTTGCATATTGTATCTTTTATTTGAAGTGTGCTTATGTTGGAGAGGCCTATCGTAATCAAAAGTTACGTGATGCCAATACGTCTCAGTATCCTCTAGTGGATAGTTGCAGTTACACAGTGCAGGTCTTTCTCTTTTTCCCTCTCTTCTTCCAGCATAGTATTTTGAATGTGAAAGGTGTGCTTAGTTGATCACAAAATTGGGTTGCATTGTATTCTTTTATTTGTAAGTGTGCTTATGTTGGAGAGGCCTATCTAATCAAAATTACGTGATGCCAATACCGTCCAGTATCCTGCTAGTGGATTGCAGTTACACAGTGCATATTCTTTAATTTTCTCATTTTGATATTTTCCTCTTTGTTCTCCCTCGCCGACTCTTATACCCTTGTTCGTCCTTAAAGTGAAAAGCTTACAGTTTTTAAATTTTTTTTAGGGAAAAGAAATAGAAATCTATTGATGATTTTTTATGTAATATGTACAATCCAAATCCGATATTTTTTCCCCTTTATATTTTATGTTAAATTTATTCACTGAATTGTCTTTTCTTTAGTGAATATATTGAAAATGTGATGAGATATGATGGTGACTCAAATGGAATTTCAGAATTATTATTAATCTCAATTTCAATGCCTGTGAAACTGTTTTCTGGTTGTATCTGGATTATGAATGTGAAATTTAAGGATCTGAGTTTTAACTTTTAGTTCAAATTGCATAAACAAATATTTGGATTTATTAGGGGAGATAAAGATCTAAGCAAGTTTTAGTCCCATTCACAAAACTAACCTTCATTTAATAAACTAATCAACCAAGAAACATAGAAGTAAAACCTTGTTTAGGTAATTGAATTGAAAAAGTTCAATCTACTTGCCTCTTAAATTCTTTATGGTCATTCAGTTGTGTGTATTCATGAATTATTTGATTTGGCATATAATGTTAATTACCATTAGAATTAGAGCCTCTAAAATAACTTACAACACTTTTATGTAATTATGAGGTCCAAAAAGGCTGACTCAATGTACGAAGCATTCCGTGTTTGTGGGCTCGGCAAAGAGTTGATGCACACAGCCTTCCCCCTGCTTTTGTAGAGGCTGTTTCTGTGGATCAAACCTCATTGACCTTCAGGTCACAACTGGAGTAACTTTACCATTACCCCAAGCCACCCTCTCTTAATTATGAGGTCCAAATTTATTAAAAAAAAGGATCCAGGCATAAATAGAGTTCATTACAAATCTTTGGATTCTCAAATCAACTAGAGGGCATTGAAGTCAACATAATCAAATGCTTGCACTTTTTTTTTTTCTTCTATATGGTCGACAGTGTGTATTTTTGTTTTTCTGTTTGTGAATACAAGCACGAGTGAATAACAATGAGAAGTTGCTGCAATACAGGAGAATAATGTGTTCATTTATTTCAGGCACTGGGTCCAGGTTTCTCTCAATTTGCTGAGCCTGTATTTCAGAGGTGTATAAGCATCATTCAGAGCCAACAGTTGGCAAAGGTTTGACGAAATTTGATTCATTTCACAATCAGTATGGATGCTTCATTTTTAGACTAATATATATATTTTTTTTCTTGCAGCACATGTATTTTAATCCCCTAATTATATGCCATTTTACACTGTTATGGCCCTATTTGTTGTTTCTGTGGTAACAGAATAATGTGCTATTGTTAGTATTGAGATGCCTAGGTGTGGGCACAGTATTCCTTCATATCTATGAGAGTCATTTGTTGCATGGCATGCTGTACATACTACATGGCAAAAGAGAACGAAAAGTCTGCGTGCTTCCATGTCTGCATTATTTTATTCTCAATTAATAACCATTCTCAGCTGAGTTTTTATACTGTTGAACTTTTTATGCACTTTATTCACCTATATTTGCATTGCATGTGTTGCTCCTTAAACTAGTTTTTCATAATGTCACAACTTCACCATTTTTTTTTTTTGACATGCACTGAAACTTCATTGCAGGTTGATGCTGTTTCAGCTGGAGTTCCATATGATAAGGAGTTTATTGTCTGCTCTCTGGACCTCCTCTCTGGACTTGCTGAGGGTCTTGGTAGTGGGATAGAGAGTTTGGTACTCCCTCTTCTCCTTGTTTTTGTCTCTATTATGAATTTATTTGTTTCTACCATGTAAGAATTGTTTTAACTTTTGCTGAATGTTGTTCTTTGCGCACTGAATTTTGCAGACAATATGTATCTGTGATTTTTATACAATATGATCCCATCATCTAATGCAAAGAAATCTGTCTCATGCTCAATGGATACTTGTTTTTGCATCCTACTTTCAGGGCAGTTGATTAATGATTTACTTATTCTGGCTGTTGTTCCTGGTGAAATGCACGCCATATAGTTAGTTACCTGATCATAGATTACATGCGGTGTGGATGTTCAAGTCCTTGCAAATATTGTTTCATATGACATTTTTGTTGAATGAGCTTCTCTTATTTTTCCTGCAGGTTTCACAAAGTAGTTTAAGGGATCTGCTGCTGCAATGTTGCATGGATGATGCTTCTGATGTTCGACAAAGTGCCTTTGCACTCCTAGGTGACCTTGCAAGAGTAAGTTTTAATACAGTTAGCAGCTGACCTTATTTAAATTTCAATCCATTCCCTTGTGTGCTATTGGATTATGGAACTCAAGCCTTTTCTAGTTCATTAGTAAAACAGCTATTTAATACTGGCAAGGTCATCAAAATTACGATTTCACTTGTAAAATTGTACTCAAGTTCTCAATTCCAATTCTAAACGTGGTCACTATTACCCAAAATCGCAGATTAAAGAACAAAAAAAAGATAAAAAGAAACGTTGATTGACAAAAGAAAGGAGAGAGAATCTATAAGACATGATCTATCCAGTATCAATTTCAAATATTGAAAATAAAAAGAGAATTTCTTTATTCTATATTTTTTTTATTCCAAAATGCTTTGTTTTGCAAAAATTGTTGTGAACTCACTCATGACATAATGAAATTGCTTCTAAAATTGATGAAATTGTTAAAATCGCAAATTGCTTCCTTGGAACTATAGAAAGATCCACTCTTTAAAACACCATGTCACTGACGCAAATGCAATTGCAAATTAGAAACTAATAGCAGCAGTATTTTGAGCTCTTAAACATCAAGTCTCTGACGAAAGAATCAATGCATCAATTAGCTTACTGGACGAGATTGGAGAAATCAAGAGAGAAAAGAGAGATAAAGAAGACATACAAGCTTTTAAGTTTGATATTTGTAATTGGTGTGAAAACCCCTAGCTTTTTTGTGAGAGATGAGAAGAGAGAGATTCAGAAGAGAAGAGACAGATACTGGGAGGTCATGAGATGGGAGTTCAAAAGAGACAAAAAGTTTAACTTTTCCTGGGTTGCTTAGAGAGAGTTTGTTGAAGCATATGGACCCTTTATTTATGACCAATTTATTTGAGGGCCATATAAAGTTGGTCCGAGTATAGCCCCTACATAAAATTTAGTTTTTACAATATAATTTTTATAAATTAAAATTCAATATACTAAAAATTTTTGTTATATAATAATTTTTTACTGTTATGATTTGAATTGATGAATTAATAATTTTTATTTTAGGTGTGTGCGTAAAATCTTGATTTCACAATTTGATTTTGTAGACCCCCTCTTCTCGTTAAAAAAATGATTTTAACAACCTTGAGTACTAGGCTATATCTTGTAGTAGCTTGAAGCTCCATTCCTTTCTGCAGATAGCTTTTTCCTTTTATTTTACTTGCGGTGTTACTAAGTTTTTTTCTTATTTTTTTGGTCAGGTGTGTGCTGTTCATTTGCACCCTCGATTGCCTGAATTTCTTGATGTTGCAGCCAAGCAACTGGTTAGGAAACTCTTTTTCTTCATTCTGAGAATAATATTTGGTTGGTTGTCTATTTACATAATGTTTGTTTAACACAGAACACTCCTAAGCTCAAGGAAACTGTGTCAGTAGCGAATAATGCTTGTTGGGCTATTGGAGAATTAGCAGTTAAGGTATGCATTGTGCAGCTTTCTATTTTGGTTTTGTTATGTTTTTGAGCTGGTAAGATTAGACTACGTGAATTTCTTCTTGGTTTAATTTCATTGATTAGATATAATTATTAATTTCAGGTTCGTCAAGAAATTTCTCCTGTTGTTATGACTGTTATATCATGCTTAGTTCCAATCCTTCAACATTCAGAGGTAATGTCTCTGTCATTATTGTTATTATTCATGTGTGCGCTTTTGCTCACACATATGAGGGTGCAACTGTGCTTGTATTCTTGGCTTTATGATATTCATAATTGCATATCTGGATCCTAAGCAGGAGCTAAACAAATCCCTCATGGAAAATAGTGCAATCACACTTGGGAGGCTTGCATGGGTTTGTCCTGAGCTCGTATCACCCCACATGGAGCATTTCATGCAATCATGGTGCATTGCTTTGTCTATGTAAGTATCACATTTAGGAGTGTAAATGGGCCGAGCCGAGTTTGAACCTTTTAGGCTCAAGGTCAACTCGAAAAATTTTGAGATCGAGCTCAGCTTGAGGCTCGAGTAAGCCAAAAATAATATTTATATATGTATATATAAAAACTTGTAAGGCTCGATGAATTATTGAGCTGAACATCATTAGGCTCGAACTCAGCTCGTTTGCTAAACGAGCAAGCTCAAGCTTGATTGGAGTTAAACTTTTTCAAACTTTTTTTGTGTTGAGCTCAAACAGCTCGCGAGCTTGCTTGGCTTGTTTACACCCGTATTCACATCTATGCCATGGTGGGAATGGTTTTTTGATGGCAACACTAATAGTGTCATCACATGAGAAATTGTTTGGATTGATATATGACAGGATTCGTGATGACGTTGAAAAGGAGGATGCTTTCCGAGGCCTATGTGCAATGGTATAAATCGACCTTCAAAATTATTTTTATTAGGTTTGAGGCAGTAATTGAACCTTTGAGTGCTCTCAAATTTTCCCAGGTCCGAGCGAATCCTTCAGGAGGTTTAAGTTCACTTGTTTTCATGTGCAAAGCTATTGCAAGTTGGCATGTAAGAATGACAAATGCTCATTTTCGGAAACAGTATGCATTAAAATTAAATATGATTCTTTGACGTTGAACTTGTCCACAGGAAATAAGGAGTGAAGAGCTACACAATGAAGTTTGCCAGGTGCTGCATGGCTATAAACAGGTAAGCAATTCTTTGATTTCACAGTAGTTTGATGTATTTTACCAAAAAGTGAAGTCACATTTTTATGTCATGGAACTTAAATTTTTGTTAATTGTTATACTTGGTGAATTATATTGGTTAATTCAGTTTTCCTGCCAAGCATAAACTTCTATGGGCTAATTAGTTGTTCTTTAAAAATGATTCAGCTTGCTAGTCCAGTTCAGTCCACAAAATGAGGGAAAAGTGATATAGGATGATTTTGATTAATACTGTGAGCACTGAGGCTAGTTAGAGTTCTGATTATTAGGAATTTTTTGATAGGATTTTTTTTGAGCTGAATGAAGGTTGGATTATAGATTTGATGCAAAAACTGGTATAAAAAATGTCAAGGACGACAACAATCAACTGCACAATTGAAGGCTGAGAGACATGGAGACTACCCAATACCCATACTTGAACCTGTTTAAACTTCCTTTGGATACGCCTATTAATAATTGAACTACTTGTAGTCTGTCCAAAACCTGTTCAGAATACCACTTACCCTACTTATTAGTAGTTCTTCTCCACCTGACCCGAATTTGTTTAATATTATATTCAACTAGTGAAAATCTTAGAAAAAATAAAAATAAATTTCAAATATAATAACAAAATCCATAGATAACTAAGAACAAAAAGAAATTTAAGTTTATCTTAGCAAGATCTAAATAGAATTAAAAAGTTCATAACAACAACCATTAACAAGTAATAGTCTTCTAATTCTTATGATAAATTAATCAAGTTTCTGGTAGTAGTAGACTCAAACCCGACTCAAATCCTTGACAGGTTGTAAATTTAATATCCATATCCATCCCAAACTTCTTTAGAGTATTTTGGATAAAAATGTAGAAATATTTGATTGGCTTGAAATTTAGTTTACATAATTTGCATGAATATGAGAAACATTTATCAATGGGTTTGTTTACTTGTCTGCAATGATTGTTATCACAGATGCTTAGGAATGGAGCATGGGACCAGTATATGTCTGCCTTGGAGCCCCCAGTGAAAGAGAAGCTTTCAAAATATCAAGTATAATACCATTAGGGTTTCTCTGCTGTAACTTTTCCACAATTTATGGGTCTTTGTGCTATCTGCATCAGCCATGATAATCATTTTGTGCGTTGTCCTATATGATTGGAGCCACAAGTCATTCAGCTGCAGACCAAGATTTGGTCACAATTTTTTCATGCAAAGCATTGGTATTGCCATAACATGAAAGCTTGAAGCTAATTCTACCTGTTTTTGGAGGGATTAATTGTCCGTATAGCATATGGAAAAAAGAAAAATTTTAGAAAATTGGAATTTGGGATCGATGAGAAGGGGGTGCAGCTTCCAAGCTTTAGAGGGATTTTTTTCATGTTTTGTTCGAGAGGATGGCTAATAATGGTAGCATTCACTTTTTCAATTCTTTCTCCTTTTTCAGTCTTTTCTTTTCCCAGTTTCAGTGGATAGGTTTTTGTTTGATTTCCACAGATATTTTGTACAATGGGTTTTTGACATCGATTTGATTATTCTTGGAAGGGTTTGTAACTAATAGACTAGGATAAATGTAGTCATCTTCTTTTCATAAGGGATTCAGATTGGTATTGTGTGGAAAAAATTATGTATAATGTAATCTGTGTATCTTATTGGCCTTAGGGAGTGCTAATGAATCGAACCAAGCCTGAGTTTTGAAGAAGTTGAGGCTTGGCTCATCTGTTTTTATTGAGCTCAAGTTTGGTTTGTATTAATCGCTTTTATGAAACGGGCGGGGCTCCATCAAGCTCTTAAGATCCCCAAGTTTAGAAAGCATCTATGAACCCAAAATTTTAATTTTTGGTCTATTCTATAAGAGTAGTATTAATGGCTAAATGCATAGATTTGCTGTGTGAAATTTATGCGATTTACTTTGTGGTTACATTTTCGGGATATATAATAATCATACACTTAAATAATAATAATTATTTCTCTAGTCAAAATAAAATATAAACATATAAGATCATGTTAAATTCTTACAAAATTATATTATTTTATTTGGGCAGGAGTATAATTATTACATATCAACTTACAGGTGCTATAAGGTATGATTATGATACTTTTATGAAACGGGCGGGGCTCCATCAAGCTCTTAAGATCCCCAAGTTTAGAAAGCATCTATGAACCCAAAATTTTAATTTTTGGTCTATTCTATAAGAGTAGTATTAATGGCTAAATGCATAGATTTGCTGTGTGAAATTTATGCGATTTACTTTGTGGTTACATTTTCGGGATATATAATAATCATACACTTAAATAATAATAATTATTTCTCTAGTCAAAATAAAATATAAACATATAAGATCATGTTAAATTCTTACAAAATTATATTATTTTATTTGGGCAGGAGTATAATTATTACATATCAACTTACAGGTGCTATAAGGTATGATTATGATATGTCTCTGTAAAGTTGAAGTGCTACAAGGCAAATCATGTAAATTTTATTAAGCCATTGATAAATTAAAAAGAAATGCTACAATGTATGGTCATGATAGGTCTTCACAAAGTTGAAGTGCTACAAGACAAATCATTTAAATTTTAGATAAATTTATATATTAAGCCATTGATGAACTAAAAAGATAAATTATTAATAAATCATTAAAGAATAGTTAATTGTACGTAGGTAAAGGCCCACGTGACTTCTTATTTTGTGAATTCAGGTTACTTGAAGTGGAAAGAATGGATCCTTAGGTTTTGATTCAATTGGTGGAGTTGATTTTGATGTTGTCATGTTGACGAAGGGCTCTTCGTCAACTTATATCTTGGATTGCACACTCATCAAATATTTTATAGAAAGAGAGTTGTTATTTTTAGCTTTTGGCTTTAAAAATCATTTACCAATCCTAATTGCTAAAAGCCAAAACCCATGCAGGACTTCCAACAAACACTATATGTACAGCTCTTCATCATCCTCTACCATCACAATTTATGTAGGACACAACGAAAATCAATTTCACAAGCTTCCCTTTAGATTATTTATTTGTTTGCTTTTGCAAATTTGGCTTTTATGCCTCTGCTATTGCTTCAGTTTCTTTTTATTATGCATCAACCTCAAAACATGCCTCTCCTAATTCCAACTAATGTTTCTTTCCACTCAATTCCTTCACCTTTGAAAACCATATTTTCTCCATGGAGAGGGAGAGGAGAGAGGGGCAGGTCATAGGTGGTGGGTGTGGGTGTGTGGAACCAAAAAAACAGAGATTAAAAGAAAAAAAAAAAAAAAAGATTAATTTTTTTGTTTATAACCAGAGCTAAATATCATTATCTCAGACTGAATCTTGATCAGTTAAATGTAATTGCAAACAAGTTTGCAAATCAAGGTACAATTGCAAAAACATGCCAAGTTTATTAAGTCTGGTTAATCCACCTCAGGACAGGAAGACATGGGAAGATTCTCCCATCTTGACTCCATCAGGCAAATAGACATGGAGTTGAACACAGCAAATTAAATACCAATTCTCAAATCAATATCACAGAATGTTATTTTGCCACTTGCATAGATATGCAGTTCATTGCAAATTAAAAAGTAAAAAAAGAAGCCATATAATTCATATTTGCCAATTAAGACAACCTACATCATATAATCCCCAATTATATACAAAAGCTATCTCTTTTCTCTCATTCAGTTTACATATTTTTTCCAATATAAAATTTTTTGCTAACATGTGCTAAGGAGGGAAATAGGCTTTGTAAGTACCTGCAAAAACATATATGAAAAACAAGTGTTTGTCTTCTATCAAGCACTCCTCCTTAGAAGCAAAGCCAACAAATAGCATAGGATAGAGTCAACTGATGATAGCGCGACAATAAGCAGTGCCACAATTACAAGAGTGAGGGTTGCGGTCTTCAGCTGCATAATATCAATGAAAAAATCTAAGATTCTCAAAATTGCAATGGCTTTGAACAAAATTTAAGTATGATTAGAATAGTACCATAAATTTAATCATTTGGTTTTGGAAAATTACAGTATAATCGCATTAAAAAATATTTTGGAGGTCTCAATCAGCTTTTTCCACATGAATTACAATGTTAAAACTTCAAAGTCACAGAAGAATTTTATGTTACATACAGTGCTTTGGAAGCTTGGCCATTCTATATACTTCAGCTGACTCGGCTGCTCAACCAGAAATAAAAATAATGATTTCGTAGCCCTGGAGAAAATATTAAAACCAATTATTCCATGAGTGCTTGCATTCTTAATCTACACAAAAAATTACATCAAGTTCATAATTCTGTCAAAAAGCAGAAAAAAACTATGACAAGTTAACTTCATTAAAGTATGGCGTATATTTTGTTTGTGTGTGTGTGTGTGTGTGTGCGCAAATATATATAAGAATACCATATTGCTTCCTTAATAAGAGTCAGCAGAAAAGGTTCTTGAGGCAAGTCATCGTTGTAGTTCAACTGATAATCATCCCTTCCTATGGATAAAACATGCTTGTTCCTAGAATGCTTTGAAGGAAAATATTGAATTTGTCCTCTAGGAATCTGTTAGAATAAAAATTCAATGATCAACAACTAGCATCCACCTGGCAACTAAGTTCATAATTTTCATTAAAAAGAAAGCAATTGTACCAGGAAGTGAAAAGAAATTCACCATTTTAGGTAGCTGAATGGCATAGCCATCGTTAAATTTGCCTTCCTTGTGTCTTTGAATCCTAAAAGGTTGATTATAAGGGCCAGGAGGAACCAAGCCTATGGGCAAAAAGAGTAATCCATTTAAAGTAAGAACAGATTGCACAAGCCTTAAGTAACATCATTATGTTTGTAAGGTTACAATTTCAAAAAATACACTACAAAAATTGATTTCAGTTTCACCTAAATTAACTGGATTCCTTTTTTAGAATACAATTCCAATGCCACATTTCTAGGAGTAAAACAACAGTCACAAAACATATAGAGTGTGATAATCTTGAAAAAGCAGGAGAGAAAAACCTGGAAATCTTCTGGTAAACCCACAAACAGCAGCACTCATAGTAGTACTAATGTTGGCTGTTCTTCAATTTTCATCCACTACACCGTCAAAATACTTATCACCATAAGTTATAGAATCCCAAAACAAAGCATAGTAAATATGTATTGTTTTATAATGAAAACCAGTCTCCATAAGTGGTGATTTGCTGAAGTACTTAAAAAAGGGTTTTAACACAGCACTTTGTCTTGCGAAATTTTTGTACAATGAAAATACGGTTACTAATAATAATAAGAATGCATACCTAATTGAAGTTAAAACAAAACTTGCTTTGTCTTTTTCATCATCATAAGATTTGATTTCATAATGATTACAATTGAAATTGGTAATAAAATCAAAATATTGTTATGTTTGTTCCGTATCACTGTCATATAGAAATTAGCAACTCATGTACGAAGTGATGTGAATCGATTTAATATGAGATTCAAGATGTGGGTTTTCATAAAAATTGAAAATTTTTCACAGCTTTAATGATAAAAGCATGAGATTTTTTTCTTAAACGAATCAATTTTTATGGGATTGAACGAAGAAGAAGGAGAAGAAGAAGAAGAAGAGAAACAAAAGGAGATATAATTGAGTTGTGTCAGAGCGGTTCATACCTTGGATTTGTTGAAGATGGGTATGGGTGGAGCTTTGAGGTCTCTCCTACCACACTGTCCTGCTCTGGTGCGTTTTTGAGCTATTTCGGCGCTTCCAGATGAATTCAAGAAAGATTATTATTATTATTATTTTACACATACTGATTTTCGTTAGAGCTATTTTATTTTATTTTTTTCATTTTGCCTTTTCTTTTGAATCTTTATTTTCGAAAAATCATGATTTTTTTTAGAAACCCTCAATATTTTTAGAATTGTTTTTTGTTAGGTATATAAATAATTTCAAAGCCTCATTCTCAAAAAAAAAAAAAATGATAATAATAATTTCAAAGCCTAAAATTTGGGATTATGACAAAAATAACATGCTTTGAGATACAATTTTTTCGAGTGATGCAAAGATGAAATTATTTATACAGAGTTTTGATATTTTTATTTTTATTTTTATTATGGAGGGAAACAGTTAATCATTTCAGTTGGGAATTTACAAAACAAGTGTTCTACATTTTCCGTTGTCAATAAAGTTCATTGAAATTTTATCGAAATTTCGGTTACCCAAACTTCTATTTTGATTACTTAAATAAAATCTTAATAGTATTTTAAATATTTTTCATTTAATAACAACCAATTTTTGCATAGTGATTTTATTTTTATTTTACTAACAAAAAAAGAATTATATTTTGTAGTTGCCACAAAGCAGAGTTTAGTTCGATTTATATACATACATAAATGCTTATCAATGAGAAAGACATAACAAGTGGTGCGGCTGGAGGAAGTGATTCTTGGCTGCTTCCAATTCTATTCTTTCCCATGTTTCCTTCCTCTTCAGTTCTCGTTGGCGAGCCAAGAACTGTCTTTGTTCAATTTCCTGCACAGAGTTTTCATATAAAGATGGATACATTTCCTGAAGCATTGCTTTAACATCTTCTGTCAATTGCTTGACACTGTCGCTCCAGTGACATTTCAGGTTCTTCTCCATCCCTTCAACCACCACAGGTAACACTTCTTCTATTGCTGATGATACCAATTTCACCAACTGTTCATTGTTCCATATGTATAATGCACGTTCTGCAACCTGACCATCAAGTTTCCAGTAATATATATTATCAAGATTCAAGCCATGCGTATCTTAAATCACTATTTTTATTAAACTTGATTCAGGCCATTTCAATAACACTCCATAATTGGTTATTAGGTTTTAGGTTTTAAACATGAGACTAGTCTTATTTCAGATTGCCATATCTATAAACTGTGGAGGAACTAGAAAAAATAATTAGAGGGGGCGAAAGAAAATTTTTATATTTAGAGGAAGCGATGTCAAAAAAGAAAAAAAATCACTTTTATAAGTAAAATGTAAAATTTTATATATTTATAAGATAAATTTCAAAAAAAAAAAAAAAAAAAAATTAAAATGTAAATTATATATATTTATAATATAAATTTCAAAAAAAAAAAAAAAAAAATTAGGGGGGCCAAAAAAAAAAAAAAAAAAAAAATTAGGGGGCAGCCGCTACCGCTTGCCATCCTTAGTGCCGCCACTGAACCAAATCCGTGACTTTGTAGCTAAACTCAATAGTGCTTTAGGCTTAAACTACCCTTATGGGTAAATTGATTTTTCAATTTTTTAACCAATAGGAATGTAAATTTTGTAATTTATTTAAAGATAAATTTGATATATTTATTTATTTATCAGAATTAAGTGAGCCAAGTTTTCATTAGTCCATTTTTATATACATACATATATATACAATCAAAATCTGTAAAATTTATACTAATAATATACCAATTAATTTCTCTATAAATGATAAAAATAATTCTAAGACTAATAGATAAATCAACTCATACTTGTTATTGTATACTCTACAAAAGATAAAATAAGGTAAGCAATAAGATTCGGTTAATCAAATCAAACTGATTCAGCCTAATCAAAATTTTCTAGATAAAAATTAAACCAACTAAATAACATATAAAGTTAAACTGTACCAAATTGAATTAGTTCGATTTCATACGTACTGATATATTTTAATTATTTTTGATGTAAAATAAACTTAGTTAAGCAGTATGCAAAAATCAAAACGATTGGTTTTGTTTTTGTAAAAACCGAATTACAATTGAATTTTTCAAACATCAAACCGATCCTATTCAGTTTCAATTATATATGATTATTGCTCAACCCTATGAATAATAAACACATAATTCCTTTAACAGAAAACAAAAGATAGAAAATGAGAGCACTTACATGATAATTAAAGAGAAGGATTAGGCTTAACTACCTGAGAGTTCCAACTGTTCAAGCATCTTGTAATTCGGGTAGAAATAGGCAAAGCCAGCTTTCTATAATGACCAGGATCAATATTATCCACTAACTCCTCCAATTCACCTATAAGCAAAATTTCCTTTTGCCAATTAGTGATAGGCCAATACCTTAACAACCCTCTAACAACGATCCCACCTAACATTGGCTCTTTCTGCACAAATTGATTAACACAATATGATAACTGTCTATGGTAAAATTGCACCCCTTTCGTCTTATGCAAAGGAATGAGCACTCTCATCAGAAAAAGCTTATGTTCTTCTTTTAATGGCACTGTAAATCCATTTATAATACTTCCCCATATCTCAAGCAACTCAGCAATCCCATTGTGCTTCTCGGTCTCGAAAGCATAATGCAAGAACACTTGATTCATTGACTTTCTCATGAATGAACGATGGAAGGTGAATCTCAAGTATATCCGGTGAAAAACATTCTTCAGAATCTCGCGTTCGCGAGGATCATCAGATTGGAAAAGAGAAAGAAGGTTAAGAAGAAATGATTGATTGATAAGTTCGCGAAGAACCTTGGGATCAATGTTAAGAACTAGTCTAAGAAGAATGTCATAAACAATTTGCAGATGTTGCCAAGTGGGTGAAAGAGTAGAAGCAAAATCTTCGTCATCAGGTAACAAGTCTGCTGAGGTTATAGTATTATAAGTACAAGATGGAGGTAAAGGCCGGAAAAGGTTTACTGCTATCATAGAAACAAGAGAGGGCAGGACTTTCTCAGGAAATGGATTAGGGGATTTTACTATACCAAGAAGTTGAATTAGTTTGTTTCTTTTTAAATCCTGTTGAGAAGGAGACTCTAAGGGATCGGTGAAGTTAAAAACGATAGAACAGTTAGATATTATCGATAGAATTCCCTCATTTTCAGAGTCTAAGGAAGATTGTCTCATCTTTCTTGGACTAGAAGAAGGAATCATACTGATATTTTTTGAATCTAAATCGAGCAAGTGTTGCAGAGTAGTAGATTTTCTACTTGGAGAGGCTTTTGGAGAGGACTTTGGAGAGTTTTGTAAACATTTCTTCATCATTTTCTACTATATACAAGAGCTTGCTTATCTCTTTGCTTTCGTTTGCTTAATATTAGTTTCCATCAGATTAAAAGAATTCTGGGTTTTTTTTTTTAAATTTTCTGTAACTGCAGCAGAAAGAAAGGAAAGAAGAAAGAAAGAAAAAGACAATGTTTTCAAGCTATCTTCTTTATCTTCATTTCTTGTTGCAATATTATTCGAGAAAGGCAAAAAACGACAGAGATGATTCATAGACAAGGAGAGATTACTTGTAAAAACCGATGATGGAACATAGAATTTTGCACAGAAACAATAAAGTTGACAAGCAAAACGACATCAAGATAGTTAAGGGATTTTTCTTTGTTCTTGTTGATCATTTGGGTGATTGCCATGTGTTTATGCCCCTAACGTGTATTGTAATGAGTTGGTGGAATGGACAGCTTGGCGCAGCTCATATGAAAGTAGATGCAAAAAGATTATTCCATTATTAAACTTAAATCTAATGCAATGCGATGAATACATTAAGGGTGTCCAATTGCGACTGCAGAAATCCCAACCCATTTCCGAAATCCGTTCAAACTCCCGACCCATTTCAGGAAGCGGTTCAAACAAAAATCCGATATTAATTTAATAGTTTTGTCTTGAATTCTATCATAAAAGTAATTATGGAAAGCATTAGTTATTTGATTAAAATTGATTTATACCGGTCCGAATTCTGTCTTATTCCATCTCAGAAATTCGATATTTTCGTTTATTTTTTCTTTGAGATTCTAGATGTTTCTTTGTTTTTATGAATTTCAAATCATGTCCATGAAAATCATTTTATCCTTTTTAGTTTTAATTTCTTTTATAACACCTATTACTTGTTAATTAAGGTAACAATACTATAAAAAGAAATATTATGCATTTTTTAAGTATAAAAAGAATCAATTATATAGATTTTTCTTCTATTATTTTACCAGATGTGTTAAGTAAATCTTTTTGAATAATACTTTTCTATTAGAAAAAATAAAAAGTTAATCAACAAAAGGGAAAACATTAATTGTCTAATTTAATCATTGGATTATTAATTATATTTAATTCTATCATAGTTTATTTTTAAATGATATTCAAGATTAAATCAAGTAAGTATCCAATTTAAATTAGCTTAAAGGCAAAAGTAATAAAATAATAATGAGTTAAAGTTCGTATAATATATATAAAGTTAAATTATATATAGTTTTTGAATTATTTTATTTTATTTTATTATATTTAATGCTCTTAGTAGATCATCATAATTGAATTAATTATTTAAAGAGTGTCTAGTTTAACTGATTCATGTAGCTGATGGTTGATTCGTATCAACAGCTAGATTGTAAATATTTGGTAAGCTTTTTTAATTAGCACTGATAGAAATTCCAAATAACTGTTAATTGCATTAGTTATATTTTGGAGCTTTTTCATATGATTTGATGGTTGATTTGAATATTATTTTATTTGGATACTATTAATCTTATAAAAAATAACTATTAATAAAAATTTTCAAATTAAAATCTTTTATGATAATTTTTTAATAAATATTATTTAAAAATTAGTTAATTTTTTTTATTTGTATAATACATTAAAATAAAAGATAATAATCACTTTAAAAGAATACTCTATAAATCATAATGCATTAAAAAAAATTAGTTTTGAAATAAAAAAGTATAGAGAAATAAATAAATAAATAAATATATATATATTTTGATACTATAAATTAATTATAGGCTATTAAGGAATTACTATTAATTCTCTTTTTTATTATTATATAAGAATTTAACTAATTTGTTAAAATTAACACAATTTTACATTAATTACAGTTCTATTTATTGATAGGATGTTTTTTTATAAAATATAAAAATAATTATATAATTAAAAATTAGGTTATTATTAATTATGGTATTTGTTATATTACATAGTACAGGACTGATTAATTGAGAAGATACATAATTACACTTATAAAAAGACTATCGCTATAACACATCCATTTAATGGCGACTATATAACAAAAATTAGATATTAATGAAAAATAAAACACCAGGATAAGAGATTTAATAAATAAAATTATACCTGGGAGATTATAGAATATAATATATAAACAGTATAATATTGTCCTGGTATCTCTGTAATTATTTTTAACAAGCAACCTCTATAAAATAAATTTTTTATTATCTCACAATATTAATATTATAATCAATCTTTATATCCTCGCGATTATTCTCTATAAACACTCAATTTCACCAGACTATTTATCCATCATAATGCTAATTAATCCTATATCTCAAGATTATCTAATTGTCCTTTAATTCTCTTCTTTCATTAGACACTGTCAAGATTTTGTGTTGCAGGTCTGAATATTCTGTTTGTTTTATGTAGGGTTGGGCATGACTGAGTAAAATTAAGTCTTGATCTTTTGTATTCTCGCCGCGAAATTAACTTAATACATATTAGGCTAAGTGTAAATTCTGATTGCAGCTCGATTCTATTAAATACATTCCAGCGGATAATTACAATTTATAATTTCTTTCGGAGAATTCTTCACATTATCATTTCATAGAAGATTGGTCGACTCCGAGAGTACAGTTCTCAATCAAACCATGGCATATAGTTTTTTTATTTTTTAACAGCAACCTCTATATAAATTTAATTAAATATTAATATTAATCAACTAATTGGTATCAAACACCAATCACCAACTATTATCATCTATGAACATCTAAATCAAACAAGCCCTTATTTTTTTTTTAACTCAAATTTGTGTTGATGAATTTTTGTTTTATTGTAATTGACGAGTAAAATAATTTTATCTTTTTTTTTTGGCGAAAACAATAATTTAGTAATTAAATCTATGCTCGACTTAATACATTCCATCATATTTCATAAATCCGAATTCTCAATTCAAAAAATGTGATGAGATAACTAAAAAAATGGAATGAGACTGTATATCTATTCGAGGAAAAAAACTCAAATTTTTATGTTACGGTGTTTTAGAATGAAACGAAAATTACGCCAGTTCCGATGCATGCACATCCCTAGGATACATGTGCCTTCGCCAACTCTCATAAAAAAAAGATGATGATTAAAATTATACAAATAAGGGAGAGCTATCATCTCGTACAGCTAATTGGATATTCATATTCTTGCTCCGGTTTTGATTGATGGAAAGTAAAATGGAACGAAAAAATTACACATGATATGAAAATGGACAGTTGAGCGCAAATTTCATATCATGTTCACAAAACTGATATATGTCTATTTATTTACATTTTTGTTCATAATTTATGAAGCTTACATATGAAACATCAAACTTATTGTCACACATGTATCCCCAATCAAAGGTACTAATATTTTACAATAATACTGCAAATTTGATCAATCAGTGGAGTTATAGATCCGGTGTAGGTAAATATAAATATAATACCATATCAACATACTTGTTAAATTAATGTTCTAAACTTGTGCCACGTAAGAAAACATGCTTCAAGTCAAACATAATACTACATTAGCATGTTTATTAAATTAATGTTCTAAAGTCATGGCACATGAGAAAACATAGTTCAACTATCATATTTATATAGATATATAAATCTAAAAACTCTCTTTTTATTTTCTTCAGTTATTTTCTTTCCTTCTATATTTTACCTCTATTCAAACATCTCCTTAATATTCTACGTCACGATTCAACGACTTCGAATAATATATTTGGAGCTTGTCCATTCAACCAGGTTGACAAAACATCATAATTTTAGTTGCTTCTGAATAGAGTCCATCAAGATTAGTTATTTGATATTTGATAATGTATTTTTCGTAATTTTTATACTTGAAATTCAAAATTCAAATCCAAATGCATGCTGGTTTCACAAGCATCTATTGTAAATAATCTGTTACGTTTCATTAGAGTGATAAGCTGTATATATAGTCATGTACCAATCACTAGGCTATACTCGTAAGCATATCAATATCATAAACTTATCAAATAAGAAAGGAAAAAAAAAAAAAAAAGGATTGCCATTGAAGGAAGTAATACTCTCTAATAAGGGAGGCCTTAGAGCTGCAAGGCCAAAATATTTTCCATGTGCTAATAAAAATTGGTAACCGATCTCCTCATATTATATAAAAAAAGATATATGCAAACCATCAAGAAAAGCCAAGTATATGAATAATGCTTATACAATGGGATCAAGTGGATTGCTTAATAAAAATTGCATCAATACTCAATAGGAAATGAAGCAAGCATGTTATGAAGATTTTGTGCTCTCATATTCAAATTCATTTGTCATGTCACTGATAAGCAAGATTTAACAATTTCAAATGCTGAAAATATTACCCTAATGATAAGTGGAACGGAAGCTTGCAAGATCTGAGTTATAAGAGAACCTGAACCACCTCTTGCTTTCAGCATAAGTTAAACAAGGCTGCATCACAAGTCCTAAGACTACCGCGATGATGCTGATAGCTATCACTTTGAGAGAAGCAAGTGCTAGAACCACCAGAATTAGCAGAGTTGGAGGTATGCATATCAAGATTGCTCCAACTGTCCCAACTGGTATTTTATAAGGCCTAGTAATTTGAGGGTTTTCTATCCTCAGTTTAACAAATGCTATAAATTCCATTATCATTCCAAAACAGTATAAGAAGTTTTCTGCTGCTACAATCTCTTGAAAGGTCAACCATGAGAGTAAAATCACACCAGACGCAGAGAATAAGATTCCAGCTGTTGGGGTTCCATAGCGAGACCTTTTAGCGAAAAATGCAGGAAGCATCCCGCGCTCTGCCATCCCCAAAAGCTGGAAAGAGTCACTGCTCATTTCTGCCATAAACATCCCCATGTTTGACAAAGCAGAAGCTCCTTGAATCCACAATCTTAACCATACACCTCCTATAATTTTAGCAATATCTGAAAAATACCCATCAGACCACTGTTGGCGATTAAGTGGAACTGCTCCAGTACCAATCAAGAGAGGGAAAAAATACCCTGAAATAACCAAGATAACTGCATAAAAAAGAGCTTTTGGTAGTGTTTTACTTGGATTTTCAACTTCTCCAGCAAGTGTACTAATTGAATCCCAATAATTCAGATTCCAAAAGAGTGTGTTAAAATACAAAGCCCAATCCACATTACCTGAATCTACAACAACCCATCTTGAAGGCTCCAATTTAGGAATTGCAACAAGTCCCATAACCACAAAAGGAAGAAGGGAAACCACGCCTAAAATTATAGCAACCCATCCAACTATAGTTAAACCCCTGTAGTTCATGTAAGTTAAAATAATAGTTAAAGCCAGAATTGACACTATCCTGAGCCAACCACTTTCTAATGCTGGTATTGCAGATTTAAGGTAATCTAGAAACAAAACTGGGTATAATGCATTATCAATAACTCCACTTAACCATTTCATCCAACCTTGTTGAAACCCCCAATAAGGACCCATAGCAGATGATATCCATACTACATACCCTCCATTTTCAGGAAACATAGTGCCCATTTCTGCAGTTATTAAAGCTTCTGGAATGCTCCATATGAATGGAAATAGCAAAAAGCCAAGAAGAGCTAAAAGAGGTCCAGCTGCCTTAACACTATCTTCAACACCAAATGGCCCACCAGAAACTTCATAAAAGATCAAGAAAACTAGTGGTAGGATTGAAACCTTTCGGAACTTATCTAACCTTGGGGAAGATGCTTCTCCTAATACAACATACTCAGCATTATTGGGCTCCACCATTCTCCAGAATTTGGTTCAGTTAATGAATTGTTCTGATTTTTCCAAGAAAACATCAAATTAGAAACATATCATACATAAGTAAAGGAAAACAATTGACTTGAAACAAAAATGGACGTTTCTTACTATGCTGGTACATCTTGAACAATACTACTACCAAAGGAAGAAGAAAGTTCATATTAACCAAAAGAACTAAAGAACTGTTAGTTTGGTTCATTCTGTAAATAAAAATGAAGTGCAACTATTAACATAGGAATTTGTTTTTAAAATCCAAAACAAAATTGGGATGGAAATAGACATAGATGCTGTCATTGTTCTATTTCAAGAGTGAACCAACCAAAATAAAATGCAATTAGTAATTTCTGATGATTCTATCACAAAAAACCAATAGGACTAAAGCCTTGTAATGCTAACGGTGAAAGCAGACAATACCTAGAGAAGCAGATAACCTTCTAGTACTATAAAATTATTCCATCATAAATTCTATCTCAATAATAACTTAAAAAAATGGGGGCAACATCGTGGGATTGATTGACAATGTGGAAAAGATTCCAAGAAGGGAAAACGAAAGTAATGCTGATGATGAGTTAAAGGCACTTACACAGTACTACTCAATACAATAGAGAAAAAGCTTGAAGATTGATGCTGAAAAAGCGCATGAAGAAGGAGAAGTAGGAATTGTATAATACAACTCTCTGTTTCTTCCTCCTTGTGTTGACAAAGACAGAAAGAAAATGACATATCTTTCGCATTGAAAAAATAAATGAAGATGATAAAATAGTTATCCTTAGTACCTACCATACCGTAGCCAAGAACCAATAGAGCAACGAATTATGTGTCGTACGTTAGCGACATGATATTATGAATAGGCTACTACGCGTCTTTCAATCGTGAGATGACTGTCGTGTGGCTTTGGCCATGTGATATATATGGGTTTTTTTTTATTTCTGTTTTGTCGCTTTGCTCACCTACGAACACGAAGGGGATTCCGGCGTTTAGCTGTAACCTTGTATAGAGAAATGTGCCGATGATGAAACAAGGACGAGGAGATAATTGAAACGACATGAAACATTTATACGACATATTGTTGCACACGTGCAGCTTCGCCCTTTTTGCCTTCGCCGTTAAAACTGCCCGTCTTTTCTGCATAGTTTGCGTAAAAAAATACTTGGCGTAGACTGCCTGTTCACAATTCAGATACAGAATTTATGAACGGCTCAAAAGGGTCGTCGTTTCGTTCAAATTTGATTTATTGTCTTACATTGCTTAGGTGAAAGAGGATAATTACCTTTGGTAGAATCTAACCAGGAGTCATGGTATCTTGTTATTTCCAACCAAGAATTATGACTTAGCAAACTTTTATTTGGATAATCTTTCTCTGATCATATTAACCACATGTATCAAATCTTGTTACTGCTCGTCTAAGGGGTAAAGTGCTTGTTAAGAATTTGGTTCATACGAGTAAATTAATCGAATTCAATTAGTAATTTATTGATATTTGAGCTTATAATAAGTTTGGTTTACCTTTAAAGTAAAATGACTAAGTCATTTTGGTTGGTTTATCCTCTTATTATATGTCATTTAATGTGTAAGTGAGAATTAGGCCACTTGACAAGCATACGATGGCCCAACACGTGTTGATCAGGGTACAATCCACAAGGAAACTTCTTTCATGCAAGTTCGGGTCCCAGACTCTGATACTATGTTAAGAATCTAGGCCCGAGGAGCAAATTAATCAAATTCAATTAGTAATGTATTAATATTTGAGTTTATAATGAATTTGATTTACCTTTACCACAAAATAATGTAAGCATTTTTGTTGGTTCATCATTCTCATTATATGTCATTTAATGTGTAAGTGGCAATTAGGCCACTTGACAAGCATACAATGGCCAACACGGGTCGACCAGGGTACGACCCACACGGGAACTTCCCTCGTATAGATTCAGGTCCCAGGCTCTGATACCATGTTAAGAATCTGGGCCCCAGAAGTAAATTAATCAAATTCAATTAGAAATGTATTAATATTTTGGCTTATAATGAGTTGGCTTATTTTTAATACAAAATAATTTAACCATTTTAATTGGTTCACTTTTCTCATTATATATCATTTAATGTGTGTATTTAACCAATATGGGATTACCCACCTACTTCAACGGTGCTCTCGACAGTGATTTGCGGGTTATCTTGTGTCACTGTTTTTGAGAGGCTAACTGAGTGGCAGATGGGTTAGCCAATATGGCCGTGATGGCTGCTGACTGATGAAGGATTTTCACTTCTCCCATGGAAGTTCTGAATGCTTGTAAATGGGATTATCGGGGTATTTCATGGTCTAGAGTAGTCTCTATTTAGTTATTTTTCTTGTTTTTCCTAAGGTTCTGTCCCTTCTTTAGTATCCAAAAAAAAAAAAAAAAAAAAAAAAAAAAAAGGAAAAAAAAAGGAAAAAAAAAAGAAAGAAAAAAAAACAACAATGTTCCTCAACAAATATCTCCTAATAACATGAGCAAATTAATAGAAAAAAAAAAAAAAAAAAAAAGGAAAAAAAAAAGAAAGAAAAAACAACAATGTTCTCAACAAATATCTCTATACATGAGCATTATAGAGTGTCGAGCTATATATCTTAATACTCATTGATAGAGTCCTTGTGATGATGATCGATCTTAAGAAGGAAAACTTTTTTAGATGAATTTACATACATAACAATATAAATTCTTCTAGTGTATAAATCTTAGCATCTAAAACCATAATGATTAAGCAAAATGATTAACACATAGTTTTGTTTTGAATGGAAATTTATTTTTATTTTATGGACTTAAAGAGGAAAATGACAATTTATTTGCTTGACATGAATAGACATATAATTAATTAAAGTTTTTATTTTTGGTATATAAGAAGAGGGAAAAAAAATTAAAAACTACACTATTTAGAGTAAGCTATATCTGCATATCACGTGTCAGTCAAGGGAAGATGCTAGTTGGAGGCAGATCAAGAATATATAAACCCAAATTAGGAAAAGAAGCAAAACTTACAAGTCATTTGTTATGTAATTTCTTAATGTACCCTTATTTAATTTACATCTCTATTCTCAATTGTACATATAATCATTTAATATTGTAAAGAGATAGTTTTGGAAAAAGCTAAACAAAAAACATAGTTTAACTATATTAACTAGTTTTTCTTAATCTATGTGAAAGTAAAACCAGATATATATATATGAGACGGAAGGAAATATTCACTAAATAATCAAAATGAAAAGGTTTAATATGTGTATTAAATTAGCTGTTAATAAAAGTTCCGATATTAATAAATGTTTGAAACACACCACTTTTATTTTTCAGAAAAAAAAAAATCGAAGTGTGAGAAGCAAAATGATGAGTGAAAATTATAAAATATTGATGACCAGAGTAAACGAGTCAGAGTTAGGCTCCAACTATAAGAATAAATAATTTCTAAGGGCTTAAAATTTCTATGATTTAAATATGAGAAAGGATTGTAGCTAATTTCATAATAAATGTTTCCTTTCAAAAAAAATTATAATAAATAAAGAGCATTTGAGATAGACTTTTATGATGAAGACGAACATTGTAATTGAAAAATTTTTATTATGGTAGACACTATTTTAGCTTGCCGATGATTTAATCGAGCATGCCAATCTTTAAAAGGAAGACTTTCACTAATAAAAGTTTGCTTAGAAGAGGATTTGATTGATGGAAATACAGAGTCCATACTCGCACTAGTCTTGTAACAATATTTTCTTTGTCACAGCCTTAATTACAAAATGGGTTGTCCAAAATTGAAAGAAATATGAATTGCCAGTTGTGAATTTGTGGGCAGAAAGTAAGTGATTTTGTTTGGAACATGTAAAACATTTCTAGAAGATGCTGAATTGGAAGCTACATTATTTAAAATGTCGAAAGCCTTGGAGCTGAGTCTTTCTTCTATTATCTTAGAGACAGACTCCATCATATTAGTCTAGCATCTTCAATCTAGAAAATTCATGAAATGAGGAGGTAAGACCAATGGTATATGGAAATCCTTCTTCACATAGGGAAGATATAATTCATGAAAAAAACATTTGATACTTTGAATACTTAAGTCATAAAGCTAGGATTTAGTATTTCGAATAATGGAAAAGAATTATTACAATTAGCATAGAAGTTGAATTTTCCATGCAAGATAATTTTTTCTATCTGAGTTGATGGAAAAGAAAGTTTTTTGAAAATCAAACCAAACCGGCCTGTCAGACTGGTTAACTAGCGAATCAATTACTAGTTCGGTCCGATGTGGTTCAATTTTTTGCTGTAAACCCGGTGTTTAAACGGTTAAAGTATTAAGAATTTACTTTACTTACATTTATAGTTTTAATAGTTTCAAAATAAATAGAAGAGTTTCTTATTGCATTTAGAGCTTAAGTTTCTTATATAAATTAGAGCTTAAGTTACTAGAGTTTAATGACTTAGTAGTTACAAGTATAAGTTTACCTACAAATAGTCTAAACCTAATCTTAGTTGTATCAATCAAGCAACAAATAGTTTTCTAATAAAGAAGTTCTATTCTAAACTTCTTCTCTTTGTTTTCTACTCCTGGGTTTTTTATCAGTTCTAAGTTTCGTTCTATTTTTCTATTAAGTGGTATCAGAGTTTCTAAAGCTAACAAGTGGTATCATGGCCAACTTTTTCTTGAGGATCTTGTGAAATTGAGAAAATTCTTCTTTAGTGTGAGGATAAAACAAAACACTAAAAGATGTCATCCAGTAGCAATTTTTTAGGAACTGGTTTGCCAATGTTTATTGGAGAGAATTACCATATATGGATAATTAAAATGAAAACTTATTTGAAAGCTTTGAATTTGTGGAAAGTTATAAAAGATGGAGCAGATCCAACACCTCTTGGTCCTGATACAACATTGGCTCAAATGAAGAATCTTGAAGAGCAAAAGGCCAAGAAGCCTAGGGCCTTGCAATGTTCAGGTTTATCATAAACTATCTTCACAAGAATCATAGCTTGTGAAACTCCAAAAAAGGCTTGGGATAAGCTAAAGGAGGAGTTTAAAAACAGTGATAGAGTGAAAATAGTTAAGCTTCTCACTCTAAAAAGGGAGTTTGAGGTGCTTAGAATGAAAGAAGTGAAACAGTGAAGGTGTATGCTACTAATTTACTAGAGTTTGTAAATAAAATCAGGTTGTTTGGGGATGATTTTCCAGATTTTAATCAGTATACAATCTAGATTTGAACCTCAAATATCTGCCATTAAAGAATCCTATGATCTTAAGACTTTTTCAGTTGCTGAGTTTATCATTAAGTTACAAGCCAAGAACAAAGGTCTAACTTCAGAGAAGAAAATACAAGTGAAGGTGCTTTTCAAGCCAAGAAAAAGGGAAGGCAACCATTTAGAAGATATCAGAAGTTTGGTTCAGAAATTTCAGATAAAGGAAAAGCCGTCACAAAAGAAGGAAGAATAAGCAAGTTTCCACCCTGTAACTTGTGTTAAAAGCCAAACCATTTAGAGAAGGATAGCCGGACAAAGGACAAATCAAAGGTACAATGTAGATTTAGCAAGAAATTTGGCCAGTTTGAGCAGTTTTGCAGGGTCAAGCAAAATCAAACAAAGAACTAGAATCAACAGCAAAATGAACAACAAGCTAACAACATTGACGAACAGGAGGAGAATGAGATCGAAAATGTATTCATGGCTTCTTAAGTCATAGGAGATGTCAATCAACAAATTTGGTACATTGGTAGTGGTTATAGCAATCACATGGCCAAGGAGGAAAGCATGTTCAACAAACTGGATAGATCAATTAATATCAAGGTGAAACTTGGAAATGGTCAAATTGAAGAACAGGAGGAGAATGAGATCGAAAATGTATTCATGGCTTCTTTAAGTCCATAGGAGATGTTCAATCAAACAAATTTGGTAATTGGTAGTGGTTATAGCAATCAACAATGGCCAAAGGAGGAAAGCAATGTTCAAACAAAAACTGGATAGATGCAATTAATATCAAAGGTGAAACTTGGAAAAT